GAGCCCCATGGTCATTCTGTCTTCCTGCATTAGCAGTAATAAAGCCCAAGTATCAACAAGCCAACACTTTCATCATCTTGTGTCATTCAGTGACTAATGTATCACAGCAACCCCCAAGCACTACCCTTGATGTTCCATATCCTCATTTATTGTCATAAGGTGACAACTCTGAGTTCCCTCTAGATAGTAGGGTCCAGCAGTCAGAATGAAAAGTTACAGGTGGAGTAAGAAAGAACAAGGACAAGCTGGAACCTATAAGGACAAACAGGAAACTATGTTTTAGACATTATCCCCAGCTGCAATGTCATGAATAATTGGCAGACATTGGTAGACTGAAGGTCATGAAGGATTCAAGGAAGCTGAAGGATGTCAGGAAGGAGTTGAAGATTTCATAGGCCTAGTTGCTGTCCTGTATAAACAAAATCAGCTAGCATATCAGGAGTAATACAGACACCCTGCAGCATTGCATAGAGCCTTACATTTATATTTAGAATATCATGACTGTTCATGTGTATCTACATATGTGATATATGTAGCATTATTAAAGAGGAAGAGGTCAGGAGTTTGAGGAGTTGTGGGGACATGAGGAGGAGTTGGAGGAAGGAGGAGAGGGGAATGATGTAAATAAAGTACTTACATGTGAAATTCTCAAAGAATAAAAAAAGTAAAAGAAGTTCACCAGTCATGTGGCTGACTATAAAGAAAGAACAACACAGGAAAAGAAATTTTTTGGAAATGTAGCTTTGGGCTAGCTATGTTGATAAATGATATTATCACACACAGCATAGCTTAATAAATCCTAACAGGAATGGTAATATGACACTCAGAAGCTGATTTATCATGTGGATATTGACAACACAAATTAAGTCCAGAAGTATCAAAATGAAGATAAGTTCTTTAGCAATGTCTGACTAGGAAAATAATCAATTTTTCACTGAGAAAAGTAGGAGGTAAACTAGTATAGAAATCAAATAGTGCTGTTCACAACATAAAATGTGCTGGTTAAGAGGACAAGTTTCAGGCTGGAGAGATGGCTCAGAGGTTATAAGAGCACTGGCTGCTCTTCCAGAGGACCTGGGTTCAATTCCCAACAACCACATGGTGGCTCACAACCATCTATGATGAGATCTGGCATCCTCTTCTAGCCTGCAGGTATACATGCAGGCAGAACACTGTATACATAATAAATAAATTAATCTTCAAAAAAGAGGACAGGTTTCTTCAAGTTAGAAATCAAACACATATACTGTGTGCTCCTACACAAGTTACTTAGCTCTCTGTGAGTCATGGGGATAGCAAAACTTTCCCCATGGGGTTGGGAACATTAAATGAGTTATAGACATAGCACTGAGAACCACATGCTGCTAATGCTTCATAAATTTCAATTTCAAATAAAACACATTTTGATTGTCAGTAACCTCCAAGTGGGCTTCGTTAGGGTTTGGAGGAACTGCTTCTTCCATTTTTTTCAGCAACTAGAAAATTGGAATGGGGGCCCTCTGCCTAACGTCTGTAGGCAAAGATTTTGATGTTTAGAATGGGTAAAGCCAGGGCTGCAGTCTCATTGATAAATGCTTCCCATTGGAGAAAGGGTTTAGTAGCACATTCTCCTTTGAGCATTAATTATTGTAACACGGTTAATAAAAACCCAGAGACAGACATTGGGGTTCAAGATGAGGATCAGATAAGCAAAGCCCCTAGCTCTTACCTCTACCTCAGACTGAAAGGGTGAGCCTGGCTCCACGAATCCTCAGACTTCTGCCTCTCCTCAACGTGGCTGGAGAGTCAATCTCCACATGAGACCCTTCGCTTTTTATACCTCCCTAGTGCTGGGATTAAAGGTGTGGGATCCCAAGTGCTGAGATCAAGATCACCTCTGTGTGTGCTGTTTCTCTTTTAGACTGGATCAATTTTGTGTAGCTCTGTGTGACCTCGAATTAAGAGAGATCCATCTGCTTGTCTCTTGATTCCTGGGATTAAAGGTGTGTGCCATCCTACAACAGAAAGTCTCAGATCATAGAACATTTCTAGATCCCAAATTTCAGTCAACCACAGAATACTTGGGCCAATCTTTAGCAGCTGCTGTGTCATGATGATGAAGCATGATCCCAGGGATGGTAGCTCAGATAGAGCCAGTCCTGCAGTCTGTGGTAGCTACGTCCTGAAAGGTGGTGTCGCTCGAAACCAGGGCCCTGCTGCTGGGGTATTGGGCAGCAAGCACGGTTCAGCCAGCTATGCAACGCCCTTCGCACTGCCACCCACTCTGTATGCAAATATGGCACAGACACAGGTTTCCTAAGCTAGATAGCAGATGTGTTCACATCTGTGAGTAATCAGAGAAAAACCAAAAAAGCTTAGAGGACAAAACAACTAAGTCTTCTACAGCCTTCCATGGCAAAGCACACATGTAGCATTTGCTAGGCCTTAGGTTCAGTACCACTATGACAAAATCAAATCAAATCTATGCTGTGGGTACAAAGAAGGCTTTTTCCTCCATATAGGATAGGCAAAAATCAAATTATTCAAGCAAGTGTGGTGTGCTTCATCAGGCTCAACTCTAGATCTAGGGTTAATTTTCATTAGGAATGTGTGTATGTGTGTGTGTGTGTGTGTGTGTGTGTGTGTGTGTGTGGTGTGTGTAATGGGGGACTCTTTAGGATGTGATAATCATGGATCCCATCTCTCATTAGTTGTCTGAAAGGAGATCTCTAACATGCCTGTAGGAATAAATATTTCCCCTTTCTCATTCTTTAACTTGTCAGCTTAAACCAGACCAGTGAAGTTAGTTGTTTTTGTTTTTGTTTTGTTTTTGCCAAGGTCTTGACATGTAATAATCCTCCTGTCTTGGTCTCCAGGGTGCTGGAATGGCAGTTGTGTGTCACTGCATACATCTGTGGATTTCTTTTTAAAGCTGAAAGATGAGTAAGATAAAGAATTCAGTTTAATCAGAGTCTTAAGGGGCGAGCTGTGCAGCTCAGTGGAGAAGTACATGCACAGGCAGTGGTTTTGATTTCTGACAGTAAATAAACAAATCCCTTATTTTTAATTAGGGACAATGCTTTCAAGACAAAAGACTACATTTTCTAGCTTCCCTTGTAGAAATAGTACCATGTTCTTGCCAATGAAAAATGTTGAAAGTCATTCCCCCAGCTTCTGGAGGAACCAAGCCAACTGGGGTGGAGCATGCTTTCCTTACATTTCTCTTTTCAACCTCGAATACAGATACAACATCTGTTTTCAAATCAATATGAACTCTGTCTGTTGAAGTCAAGGGAAGCCACAGGGTCTTCTAATGATCAGAGAATAGACAATTGGTATTGTTCCCTCTCCTCCTTGGTGGAGCATAGTCAATTTCTGGGACTGTCTCTTCTCATCTTTTCACTTCTGCTCCCAACATGTATTTCACATTTCCCAGACAAACCAAAAATCGGTTTTATGGTGTTCAGGAGAGAGTAAAGAATAAGTTAAAGGATACCCAAAGTATTTTCTTGGGGTATCACTGAGATGCTCATCCTGTCAGCCACATGCAATTTATTGTATGTACTAACATATATGGTCCATGATTTGTGTTAGGGGTATTTTCACATGCAATAATAGTAGTTATATAGATTCATGAATTATGGTGGCCTGCCCCTGTCACCAGGCAGAATGCACTCAGGCAGTACCCTGGTCAACATGAAGGTGTAAGGGACCCCTTTAAAAGAAAGGACCCCCCCCACTTACACTCTTTTCCTTCCTTCCTCTTCTCTCCCCCTTTCTCCCCCCCCTCTCTCTCTCTCTCTCTCTCTCTCTCTCTCTCTCTCTCTCTCTCTCTCTCTCTCTCTCTCCCTCCCTTCCCCCCCCTCTGTTCCCCTGGGGCAGACAAGACTTTTCCTGTCTTCCTTTCTCTTCTGTCCTCTCTTTGTCTGTGTCTCTGTACCTCTTTTCTCTTTCCTTTCCCCTTCCCTCCCCTTTCTAATAAAACTTTTCGATTAAGATGTCTGCTTGGCATGTTTGTCCCTCCTTCTAGGTCACCCTCATCTACCATGGAATCCGCCAACACTCTCCTTGCGCTTTATCATAACAGTAATGAATGGGATATTCTTCAATGTGGGAGGTAGAGAGGGTGGAAACATATCTGTTTGGATACTCATTGACTACCCTGGGGCAAAACAGCTAGAAAAACAAACAAACAAACAACCCTTCTAGGTAAAGTATTTCACTTGAGTAATAGGAAATAATCAGGGGTTATGTTAGTAGGCTTCAGACCTCACAATCTCAAATTCCCAGTCTACCTCATCGAGCTCCACGGGGTGGCTGACTCAGATATCTGCTTACACAGCTGTTGTTTTTGAGGTATCATACAGCTGCTGAATGGCTCTACTAACCCACATACCCTATAGTAACTGTGCAGACAGGCTACAGGGATCAGCTCAGCCACTGTGGGACTCCCAAGAATTTGAGTCTATTCACTCCCATCCATCACATTCTCTTTGGGAAGGCTGCATTGGCGATAATGTCCTGATCACAATAAAGGCTGTGGTCCTTAGGGTCCTTTGTCTCTCTCATTGCTGGCAAAATATAAGCTTTGGATGGCCACTCCCCACTGCCACGGTGGGTGTGCTGCCCTCTTCTCTGTAGGGTCTGTAAATGCACACACGCTCTGTCATGTTGCCTCTTCTGTACCTCACCAGGCCACACACCTAACCCCAACACTTTCTAGGTCAAGGCTCTCCTCAAGAGTACCTTTCTTATTATAGATAAGACACAGGTCAGACTAGAGCCACCAATATATCTACTAGTATAAACAAGCTTCTAGAACAACACATGGTCAAGTAGGAAGAATCCAATGAAAGGCACACTGTACACAACGATGGTCATCTTTGCTTGAGGGTGGGACAAAGTCTACAGCCATTTTCCAGAGAGATCTCAGGGAAACCACAACAATACAATTATGCTTTGGAAGTTAACTATCGTATATTTTGCCATTTAAAATGAAGTTTATATCATAAAACTTTATATAAAGTGAGAATTTTGTACGACTTTATTAAGCTTATTGTGAAAGCACATAGATTTACTTTTCATTGGCACATAGAGTAAGAATATTGATGACAATTTTCTTGTCTTCCTGAACTTACAAATGAGCCTAAGTTTTCAGATTTTTCCATGCAGAATGTTGAGCAGATTTCCATGGAATGTGGACAAAAGCACACATGCTGTAGATTAAGCCCATTGAAAATGCCAAAGTTACTGGATGGTCAGAGTCCAGGTTCCTGAATGACAAGGCCATGCTCTTAAACCTTTGGTGAATTATGATATCCCACATTTCAAATTTTACAATGCTAAACAACTCAGATTTGGAAATACTTTGTTATGGTATTTAAGCATACATTAATGTAGCAATTGCTTTTTCATGGACAGTAACATGGACATTTTGTTAATTATTAGTAAGAGTCAGCTTGTGAGATACAACATTCTGGAAGCTCATGATGATTCTCTAGTCACATTGCTGCATTATATGAAGCTAATGCAATGAACATATTTTCTAAATGACTTTGTCTATTGAATTAGAATCAAGCAAGGCATAGATGTTTATCACTTCCTTGAGTTTTATGACTCTTACCTCATTGCTTTGAATCCATTTTATTTAATTTATTGAACTGAGTTATTTAAGGTTTATTTGTTTTATGGATTTTCAAATCAACATTTGTACCAGTTTAGCTTTATAGTTTCACAAACTGCACACATTTTAGTTTCATACAGTAACCAGACAGGTCAGAATAGGGACCAGTTTCACCAAAATACTGTCCAGTGCTCTTTGAAGTCACATCCTTAGTCCCCTTTGATCGTGGATTCATTTCCCATTATTACAATTTTGCATTTGGGATAATGTCACAGAAACAGAATCATATAGCAGGTAAGCTGTGGAGAAAGTTTTTTTAAGGCCAGCATACTTTTCATATTCACTTGAGTGGGTGAGTGCTTATATCAAGAGTGGATGTCTTTTTACAGTGAAGTACTCTGTTCTACAAACCTGCTACATTTTACTTTCCACTCACAGTTCTTTCTGGGTCTGGGGATTGTGAGTGAAGTTACTAGAACGTTACTTGTATGTATGCTTTCAGGGCAGGTCACTTGGCACTCACTGATGAACCAATTGATGTGCTGCCCTTCCTTGGGGAGGGCCAATTCTTCTGCTCCCAGCTTTCCTCATTTGCCTATAGTTCTTTGTGTAGAGTTGAGGCCTCAGGGGCATTTTTCCCCTGTGCAGTTTGGCATGCTCATTGATGTCATCTTTGTTCAGGTCACATTTGTATAATCACATTGGTGAGATTTTATGGGTGTATCGTCTATATTTGCTTTCTTTTGTTTGCTCTGGAGGCAGGGTATCACTATATATAGTCCTGACTGGCCTAAAGTATTTTATGCATTGAAAAATTTGAAATTATTGTAGGTGAACCATAATTTTCTAGCTAGTGATGAAATTATAACTTCTTGATTCAATTTAATGTCAAATTAGTGATTGTTATATCCAAGATAAAACTAAGGCCTAATTATTTCAGTATAATTTATTTGTAAACTTATTTTCTCTTAGAAAAGCAATGCGCTTCACTTAGAACAGAAGAAAAAATAAAAAAAGAGATCACAAATTGACTGACCAAATTTGGTATGTAACTATGGTTTAGCCCTTTCCAAGTTTATACACACACACACACACACACACACACACACACACACACACACACACACACACAGTAAATGTTATAACAATTTTAAAGAAAGTCACCATAAACTTAGCAGATGAAAGCTCGCTACATGTACCACTACTGGTTCACAACTTTGGATGGTCAGGAGTGTGGGCACTGCTCCACTGGGTCTTCTGCTCAGAGTCTCTCTCAAAAGGCTGCAGTCAGTGTGCTAGCCAGGGCTAGGATCAAGTCTGAGAACTGTGTTCCTCTCGTAGGCTCACTGGTTGTAGGTAGAATTCAGTTCCCAACTGTTGCAGAATGGCAAGCCCCCAAATCCTCGAGGCTATCCCATACTCCTGATATGTGTTCTCCATAAATATGGCAGTTGGCATTTGCTAGGACAGCAGGGTCTCTGCTGCTTTGAATTGTTCTGACTCTTTCTATGTTGGTCCTCTCAAGGACATCTGTGATGAACTCCTTTTAGAAGTCTAAATTAAAGTCAAGTGAGTGAATTTTCATTACATCTGCAAAATCTTTCTAAGAGACCCTGGTAACACAAGCAAGGGAGTGACATCTTATCACAGTCACTGGTTTCACCCATACTCAGAGGGAAGGGATTACAGGCATGTGACACCAATACGAAACTTGGGGTCACCTTAGAATTCTACCTCCCACAAATAGCATGGTTTAGTAGCATTTTTGAGTTTTACTTCCACTCAGCCCTTATAGTTTATGTTTAATATACTTCTGTAATATCGTACTAGTACCGTAGTTTCAATAACCCAAGTTTTGAAACTGTATTTACCTTTAATAAAATAAGATATCTATTAAGTGTAAAGTTCACTCAGAAAACTATTTTTAAGATATTAAAACTGTATCTACTCTGGATTAATACTGTTTTTTTGTTGTTTTTTGTTTTTGTTTTTGTTTTTTTTGCTTTTACCCTGTAGGTAAAAATACAAAGAAAAATTTTCTTTGTTTAAATGGGACAATGGTCACTGTGGCTAAAGAATGACATGTTTCATTTACAAGGGAGGATGGGGGAAGTGAGTATGGTCCACTTTTTAAATATACAGTGTGAGCAAGGAAGCAAAGCTCCAATCAGAGCATATTGGTAGATGTATCTGTCCTGCGCATTTTATGATGCTCAGGTCATGAGGCAGTGCATGTCATTAAATGGGTACAGACAGCTGAAACAAGCAAGCCTGACTATTTTGGGGTCTCAGAGTGGCAACTGGTGACAGTTCAAATTTTACAGATGATCCACATCTTTCTTAAGGATTAAAGATATTTTGTGTCCTTTGATTAAACATTTAGATTTATTTTCTTTAGATTGTTTTGCCTACATGCATGTCTGTAAACCATGTGACTGACTGTTGCCTATACAGATCAGAGCGGGGCATCAGATCCCCTAGAACTGGAGTTATAGGCAGTTGTGAGCCCCACATAGGGGCTGGAAACCAAACTCAAGTCCTGTGTAAGAACATTAAATGCCTCATCTCTCCAGCCCCCTCCTTTGACATTCAAAATTAGATGTTTTTGTCCATCACTGATAAGGTCAAGTACCTTGTCCATTTTAACAGCAGACCCAACCAGTTATAATTTATTAAAATAAGTTCATCCACAATTTTGCCTGTTTTTAAATGTTGTAAGTATATTCAAAACTGTTTCAGTGTTGTAAGATCGTAAACACTGGATTAGGAAATTACAAAGAATGATAACTGTGTTAGCAAAACTATGAAATATCTTCATTCAACTTTCAAATATAAAAATATATTGTTTTATGCAACACTGAACAGTTAAGGCTGAACACCTCAAGGAGAGTTGGAGGTACAAGTATTTTGGAAACTGCTTATTAAGAATATTAGCATAAATAAATAGTAAAACTTCATAATGTTTAAACCAAGCCAAACATTAATTTTTATCTTTTTTTAAACAGTGTTATCAGGAAATTTCCTTCAGAAGTCATAACATTTTTCAAGTATGAAGAACAAATGTGCTCGGTGACCATGGAAACATAAACATACATTTATAGTATTGTACAGGATTTGGACTTTCCCTCCATATTTGGTGTTGCAGTATCCTGAAGATTTTGACCCATGTGGTTCTGGTTGGCATCTTTCTTATCACTTTGTAAGGTTATTTGATCTCCTATTGGCTTTATTTCTGGAAGCGGATCGTTAGTATTCTGCATCACTTTCTGACCTGTCAATGACATCCGATTAAAGAAGGAAATCTAGCAAAAACACACAAACAAAAAGATTCCATTTCAGTAAGTGAAATACTCAGAAAGTACACAGGAATATAATTTATAACAGGTATGAGCATACATTAGTCACATTTAATGTACATAAATATATATACAATAATATATCCTTTATGTCCTTAGCATCCAAATAGAGTTTTTCCCTTTTATCAGAATGCAGTCATGACTAAAGTACGACTTTTCAGGATATAACTTTCAACACTAAAAATATCTTCAGAATATGGCATCATGTTTCTTCAAGGGTGAAATCACTCACTGTTAACATTGAAATGTGAGAAGATTGGGTCATCTGGGGACTTTTCTGGTATCACTAGTGTACCTTAACTATAGATCATTTATGCTGTGATATTCTAGAAAAGGAGGACATACTTTCATATTCCTGAGACCAGAACTTCTGAAAAACTGTTAGAGTTGCCAGATGATGCTTGTGGGTTTGAGACATCAGTGGGAGAGATGGGGGGGTGTTCTGGGAGGCCAGCACTAGGACATGCAGAATACAGATAACAGATGAAGATGGCAGGGCTCTTTGGCAGACATAGAAGAGACTCTAAGGAAGGTTGTTGGGGAGCAATGAATGAGAGGCAGGCAGACACGGAAAGATGGCTCTGAGGAATGAGGTTTATATGGTCAAAATTAGAAAACTAAAGCAGAATGAAGGTCAGGAAAGGAAAATATAATAAGGGCGTGGACTATGGGGCCATGTGCAGGAGACAGCAGGAAAACTGTCATCTGAGGACAAAAGGCTCATATGACTTAGGATGTCTGAAGACTTATCCAGGACGAAATTGGTATCTTTCATAGAGCTATCATAAAAATAATGCTTTTGATGAGATGGCAAAACAAGGAAAAACACAGGAAATGAAATCTTCATGAGGATGTGTGCAGCTCTTTCAGAAATCAACATGGAGCTAATAATGATGGTGATGATGATGATGATGATGATGATAATAACAATAATAATTAATCTTTAACATTAAGATGGCAGTAAGCAGAGTAAAATGCAACTATAAAGACTTGTAGCTTAAGGGTTATGAATTAAAGTGGAACCACTCCTTCACTTGCTATACTACGGGGTACCCATCCTGAAAAACTTCCACCAGAAAACATCAAAAAAACCTCATTAAGGTAGGAAAGTGTAATTTTCTACTATGTAAGTAATTCCTAAAAATTTTAAAGAAGGCCTCTGTGGGCCCTAAAAGGAGGAAGAAGCAAGCTTTGGGGTGAGCACTGAAACAGCGTTTGTATACCTTGTAACCTAGATCCTGGGATTTTTGAGAACTCTGAGTTCACAAAATGTAGGGAATTGGACTGAGCCAGCCCTTACATAATGTGGGATTCCTTTTTTTTAATTTTTATTTTTAAATTTAAATTTAAACTAGAAACAAGGTTGCTTCACATGTCAATTTCAGGTCCCTCTCCCTTTCCCTCCTCTCCTCCCATGCCCTCCTACCAACCCCCCCAATATCCCCTCATTTCCCCAGGGAGGGTGAGGTCTGCCATGGGGCTGTCCATAGTCTGTCATTTCATCCAGGGCAGGGCCTAGACCCTCCCCCAAGAGTTCAGGGTGAGAGTGCATCTCTCATTGTTGGATGGACACCCAAAGTCCATTTGTATGCCTGGGATAAATATTGATCTACTACCCAAGGCCCAATAGATTACCTAGGCCTCCTCACTGACACCCACATTCAGGGGGTCTTGATCAGTCCCATGCTGGATTCCCAGGCATCAGTCTGGGATTCAAGAGCTAACACTTGTCAGGTCAGCTGTTTCTGGGGGTTAAAGCAGACCAGTCTTAACCCCTTTGCTTGTCAGTCCTCCCTCTCTGTCACTGGATTCCTTGAGTTCAGCTCAGTGTTTAGCTGTAGGATTCCTTAAAGGACTGCTTGCTCTATGTGAGTCCACATCAAAATAGCAGGAGAAAACTAATAGCATGTGTCCTTGGTTTCTGAATGACAAAGAAACATGGTTTGCTGAGGTAAGTTTGAAGTTCATATGGTGTGGACAGGCGACCCTTAAAAGAGACACTAAGCTAAAGCCATTTCAGACAAAGTCTTCTCTATGGGTGGATTGACGCTTAGCTGGGCTTTAGAGGACTTACATGAAATTGTCCTGGTTGAACATACATTCAATCCCAATTTCCAAACATATACAGAAACTAATCACTATTATTAGTAAGTGAGCCAAAACAACATATAGATTTTTGACACTGGAGTATGGCTGACATTAAAATTGAGAAGTAAAAAAATAGAAAAAGAGTATACTTAATTTATTTAAAGCAGAACATATTGCAACAATTTTTAAATAGAATAAATGTAAGTTCACTTAAAATGCAAGTGAAAAAGGCTGAAGATATGGTGTAGGAATATTTGTTGATCTTACAGAGGGCTCAGGTTTGGTTCCCAGCACCCACATGGCAACTAATAGTCTATAACTCCAGTTCCAGGGGATGAGATGCCATGTTCTGGCTTCTGAGGGCACTGTACACAAATGGTGCACAGACATGCATGCAGGCAAAACACATAAATAAATCTTTAAAAGAAATGGTACTGGAGAGACGGCTCAACAGTCAAGCCATGATGTTCTTTAGAGGACATGGGTTCAATTCCCAGCACCCATTTATTGGCTCAAAATCCTCTGTTAACTCCAGTTCCAGTGATCCTGGTAACCTTGTCTAGCCTCTATGGGCATTGGATGCATATGATGCATGCAGTTAAAGCATTCATAAGCAGAAAAATATTTTTAAAATGCAAAGAACTCACTGAAATTAGTAGCCAAAAGGTATTCTATAAAGCAGAACAGGTTCAGCAAAAGAGGAAATATAAAGTCAATATAAACCAGGAAATTGTCCAAAGTATCCAAAGACTTAGAAATATTAAATTGATGTTAAAAATCACAAACAAGAGAAAGAAAATGTTTGTGCCATATTCTGAAACAGAGGTATGATGAAACAGAGGTATGATGAAACAGAGGTATGATGATACAGAGGTATGATGAAACAGAGGTATAATGTTCAAATACAAATGTTCAAAAACAAATTTTAAAAATATAAATGCAATGTCTTCTCAGGTTTACAGGTCATAATAAATTTCAAGTAAGTTAAAAATAAAAATACACATATATGCATACTACAATGGACAAAGACAGTCTCAAAAAGAAGCAATGATAAAATTATTCTCTACAATTATGCTAAAATAATATTCATTTTGCAGCGCTGGGGAAGGAATACAGGGTCTCAAGCACAATAGGCATCTGGTCTACCTAAGCAATACCTCTAATCTACTTCTACAGTAATATTCTTAATATTCTTAATATTCTTAATAGCAACAATTAGAACAGATACAAGACTAGCCAACTAGCCATACTACTTATCATTCAAGAATTATGATTAAATAGAAATATACTCAAGCCAAGAGACTTGAGTATGAACTACCAAAAGACATCTTGCAAAGGATTTCTTCAGGAAGAATAAGGATCCTAGAAAGGACATCTGAGAAGTAAAAAGTAATGATGAGCTGAGTATATGGTATAAAACACAGGTAATAACAATGTTTGTGACATTAATAAAATTAAAACACTGTGGGTACAGTAGTTTGTAAAATAGGAAAGGAGGGATGGCAAGGCCGAAGATTATTTTAAGATTTTGATATTATTTGAGAAACAGATAAGAATATTGGTTAGTTTTAAACATTAGGTGTACATGGAAAACATTCAAAGTAAAAATCCAGCTGTTTAGGCTGCTTACAATGCACCCATCTAAAATACAAGCAAAAAAATAAGGGTAAAATATTTCTACCAGGCAAATGATAATAAAAGAAAGCTAACTTAACACATAAATCACCATTTTAAACCCTTTGTATATATTGGGGTTATAAAACAAATTAAGGAACTCATGGTATGTGGATTAGCATAGGAAAAGCAGAAAGTGAACTCAGTACTTCAGTCTTAACATCAAAATGTAAAAATTCATTTCACTTACCTTTTTAGACTTTTTTATGTCTTTACTTGTTGGTTCAATAACTCCCAGAATTTCTGAAGAACTGCTCTTTATACGATCATACATGTGTCCTACAATTGGATACATGTAAAAAATTATTCTAACTAAAGAGAAAGAAAAGTCTTGATGTTTTCAGGAAAACTCTATCAACCCTAAGTTGTGAGATTATAGAAAAAGAGTTCACCACAGGAGAAGTGGGCAATGTCATACCACACAGTTCCTGCAAACTGGAGTCAGTTATGGTTAGATGCCCAGAATAACTTAACCAGCACAAAAACATTTGGATTATGAGTATCCAAATATTTCCTGCTATGAAGAGTTATCAGGTAATGCTAGAGATGTGAAATATATACTAGAAATATTAGAAGAAAATGTGAAAACATAAACTATTTTTGGTTGTGAGCCTAGCCTTTAACGGCTGAGCCATCTCTCCAGCACATCATAAACTATCTTAAAAGGTCTGTGAATGGGGTCATCTATGAATGTGCTTGCGTGTGTGTGTGTGTGTGTGTGTGTGTGTGTGTGTGTGTGTGTGTGTGTGTGTGTGTAGGCCAGAGGACAATGGTTTATGTCTTCCTTTATGCTCTCCAGTTTATGTTTTGAGACAGGTTTTCTCACTGAACCTGAAGTACACTCACTGGGCAATACTAGCTAGCCAGAGAGCTTTTGAGACCCTCTTGTGTCTGCCTTCCCAGCACTAGGAATACTGGAGTATGCCATCACACCTAACATTAATGTGGGTGCTGGAACTACAAATTCAGATCTTCGTGATTACATGGCTAGGGCATTAATGACCAGGCTATTTTTCTGGCCCCTACATTACTGATTTTATTAGTCACTTAATTTTGATACTTTGCATTCAAATGAACATGTTACTTTTGATGTTTCAAGCTAATCCATATATAATATAGCTGAACAATAATCTTTAAGAGAGAACTCATGAAGCATTATATTATTCTGATTTGATATGGTTAACCATTCGAAGCTTATATTTAGTTACTTCTTGACACAACTGGCTAAATTATATTCTAAGAATCCTTAAATAATGAAACAGCATTTTACTAAAAATAATCTAAAAGTATCCTTTAATTAGATGTCATATGAAAAAGGCAACTGAGGAAACTAGTTTTTTTTCCTCTTTAGCTCATACCATATAGTCATTACCATGGATTTTATTTATTTATGAGGTACTGGGGATCAAACCCATGGTCTTGGTTCTACTACAAAGCTACATCCCAAGCTCATGAACAGTTCTTTCTAATGAGAACACAGTAGAATGCACATTGTAAAGTGCTGGGTTTTTATTATTTCAAACAATTAAGAACTCCTTCCCCACCTTCCCCCAAAAAACAAACGAAAAACCCGGGAGTTGGTGTTGCACTCCTTGAATCCCAGCACTCAGGAGGCAGAGACAGGTGGATCTCTGTGAGTTTGAGGCCAGCCTGGTCTACACAACAAGTTCCAGGACAACCTCCAAACCAATACAGAGAAACCCTGTCTCGAAAAAACAAAAATAAATAAATAAAAATAAAATAACTCCTTTTTTCCGTTGAGTAGTACTCTATTGTGTAAATGTACCACATTCAGGTAAATGGATGGAACTAGAAGAAACCATCCTGAGTGAGGTAACCCCGTTACAAAAAGACAAACATGGTATGCATTGATTCATATATGGATTTTAGACACAGAGCAAAGGATTACCAGCCTACAATCCACACTGCCAGAGAAGCTAGGAAACAAGGAGGACACTAAGAGAGATATACATGGTCCCCCCGAGAAGGGGAAAGGAAGAAGATCTCCTGAGCAAATTGGGAGCATGGGGAGAGGGAGTTAGGAGAAAGAGAAGGGGAGAAGAGGATGGGAGAGGAGACTTGAGGGGAGCAGGAAGGTTAAGTCGGGAGAAGAGTAGAGAAGAGCAAGATAAGAGATACCATAATATAGGGTTAAAGAGAAATCTTGTGCTATGGAAGTATCCAGAAATCTACACCAAGTAACAATCTAAGCAATAGTGGAGAGTCTACCTCAAACGCCCTTCCCATATAATGAGATTGATGACTATCTTATATGCCATCCTAGACCTTCATCCAGTATCTGATGGAAGCAGAAGCAGACACCCACAGCTAAACACTGAACTGAACTCCTGGAATCCAGTTGCAGAGAAGGAGGAGTAATGAGCAAAGGGGTCAAGGCCAGGCTGGTGAAACCCATAGAAACAGCTGACCTGAATGAGGGGGGGAGCACATGGACCCCAGATTGATAGCTGGGAAACCAGCATAGGATTGATGCAGACTCCTTGAACATGGATGTCAGTGAGGAGGCCTCGGTAATCTGTAGATCACTTTATCCCTAGATTACGAATGTACTTTGGGAGCCCATTCCACATAGAGGGATACTCTTTCAGCCTAGACACATGGGAGAGGGCCTAGGCCCTGCTCCAAATGATATGACAGACTTTGAAGATGCCCCATGGAAGGCCTTACCCTCCCTGAGGAGCAGAAAGGGGATGGGATGGGGGGTTAGTAGGGGGCAGATAAGGAGGGGAGGCAGAGGGAACTGGGATTGACATGTAAAACAAGCTTGTTTCTAATTTAAATAAAAAACCTGAAAAAGTACATTAAAAAGAACTCCTTTTTACAAAATGGTGATATAAAAATGTAACAAACATGACTTACAGTGTAAACATAGAGTGTAATCACAGTCCCCTGCATTATGAGCACCTGCTGCTACACTGACAAACTTAATATATTTATTCAGGGCCTATGGTGACATTAGACACAGGTCCAGATTCTGGGGGAAATAACTGGGCTCCGGGATAACCTAGTCATATTAACTTGTCAAAGAAATCCCTAGTATTTGACAGAGATTAAATTGTGATTTGAGGCAAAGTTCCAACCTAAGACTGGTTGAGCAGTGGGAAGAAGAGGTTGATTTCGTTCTAAATCCTTGCACAGTGACACATAAGCACCCATGAGTAATGAATGTCGAGTGGTGCATCTGAAGAAGCCAAGAAAGTAAAAGTGAAAATAAACATTGTAGGAATCTTGCCTCTTAAAGCTATCATCTGTGATTTACTTCTGACCTGGGCCATGCTATGTCCATCACAATTTACTTAAGAAAATGGAAATTTCTTTCTATATGTTCATTCAAACATCCTCAAGCAATACTATCATTTGTACTTCCAACACCAGAATGACATGGACCATTGTTTTCCTCCATTCCTTTTCATAGAATTAGCTCAGGAATCTCCCAATTTCAAGGTTTTAGAGAAATATGGGAGACAGATGTAATATTGGAACAGCAGTTTTTGTCCACATCATATATTTGACTGATGACTAAAATAATATTCTTAAGAGGGTTGAGGGACTGGAGAGATGGACCAGATGCTAAGAGTGTATACTGTTCTTGTAGAGGACTCAGATCCAGTACTCTGCAGCCACATTAGACAACTTCCAGCCCATTTGAATACTGGGTCCTGAGGATTTCCACACAGACACATATACATATATATGTAATTAAAAATAAGATGAATTCAAAATGCCATTTTAAAATCAAATGTGCTCATACCTTTTGGGTTTTCATTGTACTCACGAAGAGTCCGTTTCAGTAGGCTGACATTGTCTTCCTATAAACAATAAACAAACAGTATGACCAAACGCACAAACAGGAGAACTTTCTTCCCATATTTGTGCTTTGTTAGAAAACCTAATTTTGGTTTAAAAGCACATTTCTAGAATCTGTCTCTAATTAATACCATAGGCATGTGATAAATGCTTCACTTTGCTGGGCTATTATGAAATAGGATGTCTCAGGTTGCTCAGTGATTGCTAATGCCCTCAGTGACTCTAAACCAGGCACAGTGGCAAATGTCTGTAATCTTTAGAAAGCAGAAGCAGATAGTTTTCACAGCTCATGGTCAGTCTGGTCTTCATAGCAAGTTTGAGAATGGGTAGGGCTATATAGTAAGATCTCATCTTTAAAAAAATAGTTTACGGACTTAAGAAAGCTGTAAGATTTCATCATCTATAAAATGACTATAGAATGCTAAATGGCACACAATTTATGTCAAAAATTTATAATAAGAAATGGGTATTTAATGCGTTTTTTTTACTGACCACCAAAACGGTAGCTAATAAAAATTCCCACAAGCTGGATAATATTTCTTTCTGTAAGAAAACAATAACTGAACAATTAGGTAGAGTCTTGAGATATACAGAAACAAAGAAAATACAGCTTCTATATGACAATAGTATCTTTTAAATTAAAAATGTCAGGCACATAGCTCAACATATCTTTAATCCCAGCACTTGGGTGGTGGAGACATGGGGATCAAGAGTTCAAGGCCATCGTCAGCCACATAGTGAAGTTGATGCCAACCTGAGCTATGAGACACTATTGAAAAATAAAAGAAAAAATAGGAACACAATGAAAGCTTTTAAAGTACACATTCTAATTTAATGTTAACTGTTTTGGTAGTTGTTTCTGTAAGAAAGAGAATGAGTTTTTTTTTCTTAAGAATTTGATGGAGCGGTAATGAGAGTATCTCATTAACTGGAAACCATGGCTAACTCAATGTTTTCTGACAGTAGCTGGAAGGGTGAAAATGGACACAACGCCATTCCATTTGGCTTTTAGCATTCTACCTCTCTGAAATCAATCCAAATACTGTCAGCAAACATGACAAACAGGTTATGAACTCCAATACTGTTGCAGCCTTCTGCATTTACATGTGTATATGTATGAATATATGCATATAATACATATCATTTCTGCAACCAGCACCTAAGTTCCCAACTTTTTATCATAAGCATTTCAAAGACAGATACCCAACTTTCTGGTTCACTTCCCAAGATTATACTGTCTGTACCCATTACCACTCATGTGGGAATAAAATCCTACCTAGCAGAATGGCAAGTTTGCTAGAGATAAGGTTTGCTTAATTTCTAGACTAGATAAACCCACTTTTTCAGTTTAAATGAATTGACACAAAGATATACTTCTGCTCCCATAGGAAACTGCAAAACATCCTCTCCTTTCTCTTAGGTGTTGTCTTAGGACTGAAACCCTTGTCATTATACCTCTTCAATGATTTCATCCGGGTTGTCATCGATGGCATCAATAGTTTCTGAGCCTTCTATTTCAGGAAGGCCATCTTCAGGGAAGCTTCCTTCTACACTTTCCTTCTCTTCTTCCTTTCCTTCTTCTTCTACAATGTTTTCTACATCTGGGGCACTAATTTGCTCAGACATGTCTCCTGGTTCTGGTTTCACAGTTTCTGAAATTTGCTGATCCTGTGACAAAAGTGATTATACAATTTCCATTTTCAATTAATAGATATGATAATGGTTTTGTAACAATGAATGTATACAGTATTAAATGGCATTTAGCAACCGAAGACATGAAATACTGTAGAATTCATGCTGAACATCATGATATTGCATCACTAATACTTTCATGGCTGCTGCTCCGGTTATGTCTGCTGTTATATGCCGATGCCTAGTGTTCCTGGAAATCTGTTAGTAACTATGCTAAGGCCAACCTAGAAAAAAAATATCTTCTTGACCTTCCCCAAAGAATGATCTTAAGCTCCAGAGAAATAAAAAAGTTTTTCCTTATTACAACATTCTAATATATATATATATATATATACATACATACATACATACATACATATATCAGGTTCATTTTCTAAAACAGGTATTTGGAGTTCCTCCCACCCCAAATTTAAAATTCTCTTTTAATGAGTGAGGTAAGCATAGCTACTTATGACCCAGAAAAAGATAATGAACACATTTTAAATGCTATTAAACATGGCATTTTCACTAGAAGTCACATAGACTGTAGTAGCACTTTGAACTTTTTAAGCACATTTAAAATTTTAAACATACTTGGATAACTACTATAAACCACAGAAAACACTTACCTTTAAAATTGAGATAACTTAGGAGCGATTGGCAGAATACTGTCATTTTATAAAAAGAAATGATAAAGTTTAAGTACATTCTTAGAAAGATAGTCTGGAATGGTCAGGCACATGTCTTGTCTTAGGAGCAATGTGAAGAAGTCAATGGGTCAAGACAAATATAACTGAACCATCACTTCATTGGTCACACTGAGCTCTGGTCTTTGGTTTGGCTTAGGGCAATATTCTTTGTATTTTTTGTGAGGGATATAAAAAAGTCAATGTTCCTTGTGATGATTTAGTTCGCCACAATGTCCCAGATCTTATCACTATAAAACGAACCAGTTACCCACTCACATTTTCTCCCTTTGTCTCCAAAATCCTTATTCTAGATTACTACCCTGGCTGCTAAGACAGGCAAGGAGAAGGCTGTCCTGTGCTTACCAGAAACAGCCATAGAAACCACAGTGACCAATGAAGGTAGGGTACCCTGGGATAAAGCTTTAGGCTACAGGAGCCTTAAAATTTATTGCTCAGTGAAGCCAAAGCCCTCCAAGAGAGGGATCTTTAGGGAGAAGGGAAGGGAGGTAAATACATAAGCAAAGAGGAGGGTAAACTAACAATAAGGATTCCTGAAAACATCAAAAGAATCATACTATTAACTAAAAGAATCTACAATACATGTAATTATGTGTATAAATATACATATATAGGCTAAATGAAAATTTCTCATTTGGGCTGACTATGTTCCTTCTGAGAGTCAAAGGTCAACTAACAAAAATCCCAACACCAGACATGAGAAGCCCTCCTTTGAGCTGTTTGCCAGGGCTGCCCAAGAGACTCCCAAAACATATAGGTTGTTGCTATTTCCCTATTGCTGAAGATGCCAGAATTTCAGGGCCTTAAAGACCTCAGATCTAGAAGTGACTTGAAAACACTCCATGAGGACTAGCTTTCATAGTACTACAACGTACCAGGCAAGTTTCCAAAGGAGGAAAAGCAACCAACATTCTTAGACAGCTATGGTGCCTGTGAACCAGAACAATGGTGAGCATGGCTCCACAACCTTAAAGGTGCTGTAGTGGCACGCATACTTGACGATAACCAACAGCTCTCTAATAGGGCTTAAGGCCTGCTCAACAGGAGGGAAACCATGCCTGATACTGGAAACTTAGCCAACTACTCAGTGCTAGTGAAGTCACAGATACTAGAGGACAACCTATAACCACTACTTTGTTAAATTAACCATCACTAACAGCAATATAGACTTTTGTCTTTATACCCACAGATAAGGGCAGTCCTCACCATTCATCAAGGAAAATTCTCTTTGAAACCAATGGAGAGACCATTACAGAAAAATACAAGCAATCAAAATCCACCGTTGGCAAGCCCAGTCCCAAAAGGTATATCTTTAAAACACTTCCACACCTAAGGCACAGGGAACATTTTGGAACAGGGGACAGAAAGACCAAAAGAGCCAGAGGATCAGGTAGGTTGCTTTGAGACTCTGTCTCTTAGTAATGTGAGAAGTGACACCCACAAAGTCTTACCAACATGACAGCTTAAACATGAGCTGGAAAAGGACACCAATAGACATGCCAACGTAAACAGGGAAAAGTCCACGAGGCCTCAACCCTGCACAAAGAACTAGAGGCAACTGAGAAATCCTCAGAGTAGGAGAATTAGTCTCCCCAAGGAAAGTGCACTCCAATTGGTTATCTAATACCAAATAATCAGCCCTGAAAACATTTGAGTACATACATTTGAGTACATACACTCTGTATCATTATACAGAGTTGACAAGTTATATTTAGGAATACATATGTATATACACACACATATATGCATATACTAATAATTAATGAAAAAGGAATCCATGACATTGAAAGAGACCAAGGAGTGGCATATGGGAAGTTTTGGAGGAAGGGGAAGGGAGAAATGTGACTATATTTAAATTTCAAAAAACTGATTCTGTAATCAAAAACTTAAGACAGTTTGGAAAAAGTTGTGGAGTTTCTTTTAAAGCTTTTTAACATGCTATTACACACTGTAGACTTTTTGGCATATAACTATGGAATATTTCTTTTTTAAATGAAGTTATTATAGGTTCAGCTTTTTAACTGATCAGTGTGACTTGATGCTTAAGGTAACAAATGAGACCTTGCAGAGAAGTATCAAGTTGTTCATATTAAATTCTGTATTTTAATGAAAAAAATCAAAGTTCCTAGGGTTTTCCATTCTTGCTAGCATTTAGCATGGTGCTTTTTCACTAGAGGAAATTGCAACAAGTATCAGTAACATCTCATTGTTGCTGTAAACAGTGTTTTAGATGGTGAGATAAATCAAACAAACATTTCTTTTACTTGATTAGCTATTTTTTGCTTAGGTGATCTATAGAACTTTGCTTTTAAAATAATTTGTCTTGATTTATTACAATAATTTATTTGAAAACAAAACAAATAAACATTTACATATTTTTGTTTTGCTCTCAAATTATATATTGTATATAATATGCTTTATTTTAATACTGGCAAACAATTTTAATTAAAAGAAATCACTAGTACAGGAAGCAAAAATACAGTCTACAGGCCAGATTATACCTACAAACTGCCAGTTTGATCTCTGGATTCTTATCTTCTTAGGACATGACTTTATAAACAAAAAGTCTTGTATCTTTCTATACAGAATTCCTTATTTTATTCCTAATCTTTTACTGTAACTACTGTATACACCCGTTTGATGGAGAAGCAAGCCTACAAAAGTGAATGTAATGTTCAGAGAACTGTACACTGCAGTGGTAGGCATTTCTATTCTCATATTTATATTTATTCTATGCCATTCTCATTCTTTTTCCTTAGACAATTTATTTCCTTTTTAGTAGACATACATTTTATGCTAACCACATGAGTGGAATCAACTTCTCTGTGCTTCATGCAGTAGAAACTACAACTGTTTCCCAGTACCTACAAGGTAATCAGTGGAGGGCTGTGCTTGAGTTCATGACTGTTGAACTGTAGAGGCTCTGTTCTTCCCCAATTCTGTTCAAATAATTTGAAGATCATAAGAGCCATGTCCTCCCCACTCACTGATGTTTTAAACATTGCAGATTATTTTATTCCCTGAGTTCCCAACAAGGACATCCTATCTCATGTTTCATCGTTTGCATCAACGGCAAATTAAAAGTTAGGAAGTGTTGTCTGCAGTATCCACGTCTCTGCATTGTACATCTCCCTCCCATCCTGATCTGAGAACCATGCTAGCAGCTCTGGCTGATCATTTTCAGAATGCAAAGTGTAGTTTGGATTCTATTTTTCTGCAAGACACACTTCCTGGACTTCTTTTGCTTTTTTTCCCTGTTAGTGTTAGCTCTAGCCCTCTACGCGGCCACATCGATTTTGTTACTACTAATTCTTCTTCCTTGAAACCCATTCTTAGCTTGGGTAGCATTTTTCTTTCTTAGAATACACCCTACATCTTTTATTGACGTTTTTTTCCTCAGCTTCATCACTATTCTTTTACACTAACCCAGTGGTTCTCAATCTTCCTCATGCTGCGGTGACCCCAGCCGTAAACTTAGTTGCTACTTCATAATTGTAATTTTGCTACTGTTATGAACTGTAATATAAATATCTGATATGCAGGAGATCTGATATGTGATCCCCAAATAGGTCATGACCCAGGGGTGGAGAACCACTTCATCTAACCATTCACTTACTGATGTTTTCCCTGAATCCTGTCTGAAGTGCTCTCCTCACAAAAGGGCTGCCTTCACTAGATCCAATTAATTATATGCATAAGCTAGTGATCCCCAGCAACTTCTACTGAGCTCCAGACACATATGGTGGCCTGCACAATGAACATCTGCTGAACATCATCAAAAGATAGCAAATGCAGAACTGTCTTCCTGAACTGTTCCTACTCCCTTTTTCATAGTCACAGTGAACAGCACTTTCCACTCAGTTCTCTATGCCAGAAGAAAGAAAGGTTTTACCTTCCTCTTCCCTCCCAGCTACATCATTGTTCTAAGCCCTCCAACTGCCTGATACATATCCTCACATCCTTCACCCCCACTGTCCTATCCCATGTCTATTTCATTCTTTACCTGGTCCATTATAATTGGCTCTTAACTTCCATCCCTGTGGTCCTGTCTGCTTCAAATCATTCTTCATATTGCCATGAGAATAACATTATAAAACCTTGTTATTTTTCCTGTAACATCATGTATGTGTATGTAAGGCCCTTTGTTGTTAAGTTCTAGTTAAACATGACTCATTTCAAAGTTTCCTTACTCACTGCTGGCAAGTCCTTTCTTAACCCTTTCTCATGGGAGCTGAAGTGACTCTGCTAATATACTCTATTGTACTTATGAATTTTCCTGTTGGGTTATACAGTCCTCTAACATCAGGGGCCATATCTCATGTCTTACATAATCAAGACGCAAAACCTTTTTCCTCTTTATTTATTTCATTTAAAAAAAAGCAAGCCACGCATGTATTTTGAAGGTGAATTTTCATCTTAGGGTAACTTTGGCTAAGGACACAGGAGTAGAAAAACAAACAGCACCGTTAAGAAATAGTCATGCATATCATTTAGAAAAAACATGATGAATAATGAAATAATCGTGGCAGAGATGCCTTGGTGTTTCCAAGTGTTCTTTAGAGAAATATATCTTTAGTCTTACTGCAGTTATGATGGGGGAGAAGAGGGCTATGGGAGGTAGGTTGTAACCTGCCCTCACTTCTTCAGGTCTATCATATTGAGGAAGCCCACTCAATTTTTTTGGTGACAGATACATAAATACTTGATCCAATAATATGTACTAGCTATTAAACTATATGATAGGAACTAATCATGCCATATGACACTGAATTTCCACACTGAAAAGAATGAAGAAAAAGATTACAGCACCTTCCTTCACTGCTGCATTGGTGGGAGAGAGCACATGCCATATAAGCTGATCTCTATAGCAAATCATTACAATCAAAACATACTTCAGTGTCACTCACCTTGATGGCTGCTGTTGAGCAGCCATAGACGCTCTGCAGAAATTCCCCTCAGCTTACCTGAAAGTCTTTCTGCCAGAGTCTATATTAGGAAACTGTAACTAAAGGGAGTCTACATATACAAGACCTCACATTCCTCACAGCAATAATTAGAAAACTATAGGAGACACCTGATCAATTAGCAGATTTACCATGACTGGAGGTCATGGTAAACCCAGCACTGGAGGAGTAGAGACAGAAGGGTCAGAAGTTCAAGGCCACGCTTGGCTACTTAGTGAGCAAAATACTAAACAGATTTGGGCTATGAGAGAACCTGTCTCAAAAACAAAATCAATAAGAACTAGCTATCAAAATCTATGTAACTAGCTATCAAATCTCAAGGGATCAGTTGGTCTTATTCCTCACTTTTCTTTTTCTCTAATAATGATATGTATGCATATGGAATAACTTCTTCTTATGAAAGCTTATATTCTTTTACACTCTGCCTCAATGTATCACTAACTACCACCAAACTCCTATCCATAAACTTTAGAGGGTATTAGGCCTGCCACATGTAGGATTTAGTATGTGGCAGCTGAACACTGGGCAGAGAAGGTTAGGATGCTTTGTTTAGGCTGTTGCTCACTTCATATAACTGTTCATTTGCCTGAAGACTGGATGATTTGGGGGACTAAACGAGCCTTTTGTAAATTGAGGAACAGGGATACCAGAAATTCTGGTGTGAAAAAGTTGTAACAAAGCTGCTCCTATCACTTAGGTCTCCCATTCCAATTCTGTATGTTTCTAGAAGAAAACAAAGGACCCTTACAGAGGCAAATAAGCTGGTGGTAACTTCATACAGCTTGAAAGCACACGCCAGTAAGGCCTTGAACACGAAATGATTATGTAAGTGCTCTTGACTGTAATTTGTAGGAGCTATTACTTTTAAAGGGTATACCAAGTTTTAGGGTAGGAAAATGAAAAGAAATTGGTAAGAAATGCTGCTCAAAAGTGGCTATCTATATCAGTTCAAATGGTGAAATGGGTACAGTCAAGAACATGACTTAGGTATTGCTGGCTGATTCTCTTCTTGGAAGACCATGCCTTTGCCATGAATGGAAGTTTAGATTCTCATCTCCCTGGAATTCTTTTAGAATTTTCTTTATGGTCATCATGTACTGATATCCCTCTTATTTAATCTTTTGAAATCTATTTTTAAATAATCACTTTTGGTACACATACTTTATCATACTATTAATTCTACTCTAGAAACAATGAATATGCTAGACTTTGGTAAAGGGCTGCAGTGTTAAAACAATGTAGTCCATTACTCAGGGGATGCTACCAACTATCTTTGCAGCAACTTATAATTTAAAGATTTCTCTAAGGAAATGCTACATCATGTGATTCTTGTCCTTTATCTCATGCTCATTCTCACAGAGGATCAAATGTATGGAGTTCAACTACACAAAACCCACAACCATTACCATGAAAGTCTTCCTTGAAAAATGTATAAAAAAATCACTCATGCCCAAGGTATGGAACAGGATGAGAAAGGAAATCAACTGAAAAAGAAGTTATGATTACACAACTAAACTAGCTATATTATATAAATCTAGTGGAGCCTGGCTCCTCAAAAATTCAGTATCCAATGTTAGATAGTTTTTCTTTCCACAAACAATATTGAGTATATTATTTTAATTTTTATTTTACTTGAAACATTCTGATAAGCAGACAAACAGAATTACAAAAGTCAATGAAAATACATTGAGGACACATAACACACATGGAGAATGAAAGCTCTGACAGTAGAGCTAAAACAGAAATTACTTGAGCTCGGAAATTTACAATTATAAAACACAAGAGACATTAAAGTTATCATAACTTTTAAGAGCAGAAAAAATATTTTGAATGTATAATTTTCTTCCTTGAAACACTTAAACTCATATGAGCCCCTATATTCTGTGTTGAGGTTGACTGTCATTTCATTTCATGAGCTATGTTGTCATATGCCTAGCAATTGCAAGAGATAACATCATTAGCCTCTAAGGCCTGAAAACAGCTGTTGCTTCATAGATTTTCATGAATTGAGACAAAAAAGTAAAGGGAAATGTCAACCATTTAAAATAGGAAATTCATTCTCATTTCAGTTTTCATCAACTATTATTGATTATCTACAATTATCATCAATATCATCAATTATTATAAAAATATTCTAGATGGCAGAGACTGAAAAGGGGTACTTAAATACTTATTAAAAAGTCAGAAGTTTTGATAGCCCTTAAGCTTCTGTATTGTATTAAAAAGACTTTAATATACATAGTACTTACAGTATGCTTCTAGTATAGAGATCTGTCGTTCATGAGGAATATACATTATTAACTATAACAAATAGCCTTTTAATATTTTCTAGTTAGTAGAAAATTAGTAATGTGGGAAAAAACAGGTATGAGTTTAGGAGGAATCAAGACTTAACATTGCCTCCTGTTGCCTTTGATACCTTAGTGCAACTGACATCAGTTGCTTTTTTAACCATGTGCAAAAGTACCATAGTAACAGATCAGTTTAATAATTTGGAGTGAGTATATCTATTATACATGAGGCATGCAAATGACTTCACTGTCCATAATTAGGTCAAATTTAATCTGTTATTTCAATTCCAAATAAAGTGGTAAAATGTTATTCCAGAATTTTTTGGAACATGGGAGTCCATTATCAGAAAGTTGTTTTGACTGCACTGGCATTTTAGACCTCTGCTCTTTTCCCCTTCTCCCTGGGTTAGTAATGGGCTTTTCCGAATATGTTCCATATCTGCCATGTTTCATAGAACCTTTGATTTTACTCACTTTTTGGGACTGTTCTCTATCTTCCTGACTTTCATTTTCATGTTCTTTCCCACCCCTCTTCTCGTATTCCCCTTCTTCCACACTGTATGCTTCTCCCTCCTCATTGCCATCACCACACCTTCCATTTTCTTCTCCTTCTTCCTCCTCCTCCTCCCCTTCCTGTCCCTCTTCCTCATCTCCTTCCTCTGCATCCTCTCCTTCCTCTTCTAGTTCCTCTCCTTCCCCTTCCTCCTCTTCCCCCTCCTCCTCTCCCTCCCCTTCTTCCTCTCCTTCCCCCTCTTCCTCTCCCTCCCCTTCCCCCTCCTCTTCTCCCTCCCCTTCCCCCTCCTCCTCTCCCTCCCCTTCTTCCTCCTCCTCTCCCTCCCCTTCTTCCTTCCCTTCCCCCTCCTCCTCTCCCTCTTCTTCCTCTCCTTCCCCCTCCTCCTCTCCCTCTTCTTCCTCTCCTTCCCCCTCCTCCTCTCCCTCTTCTTCCTCTCCTTTCCCCTCCTCCTCTCCCTCTTCTTCCTCTCCTTCCCCCTCCTCCTCTCCCTCTTCTTCCTCTCCTTCCCCTTCCTCCTTTCCTTTTTCTTTGTCTCTTTCCCCCTCTTCTTCTCCTTCCCCGTCTTCTTCTCCTTGCCCTCCCTCTTCTCCTCCCTTCAACTCTTCTCTGTCATCTTCACCTCCCTTCACTTCCCCTTCTCTAGTTTTCTCTCTCCTATCTCCTTCCTTGTCGTTTCCCTCCCCTTCCTCATCCCCACTTTGCTCCTCTGATGTGTCTTCTCCCTCTTCCTCTCTTTCTTCCTTGTCGCTCTCCTCCTCTAGGTCTTCTTCCCCTTCTTCCTCTTCTCCATTTCCTTCACCTCCTGCTTCTCTGTCTTGTATCTCTTCATTGCTCTCCATTTTCTCTCCTCCCTCACCCTCCTCCTCCCATCCTCCCTCCTCTCCCGTGTCTTTTTCTTCCATAACCAGGATGTGCCTTTCTCCTTTACTCCTACTTGTCTTCCTCTCTTGTTTTTCCTGCACCCTTTGCCACTGTTGTGCTCTTAAAGTATCCTTTTCATACATTTGATCCCTTTCACCCTCAGATCCATCCTCCACCTCTCTCCCTGACTCTCCCTCACTTCCACTCACCTCTTTTTCTGTACTGATATCTGACAGGGTTTCTGTTTTCACCTCCTTTATTTCTCCTTCGAATTCCACATTTTCCTCTTGTACCTCAATCATTTGCTCCACTACTGCAATCCCTTCTGTGTCTTCTGGTCCTTCCTGCTCCTCTGGTATTCCTGACAAGTGGTCATGCATAAGATCATATTTTGCATTAAATCTGGTTGCTTTGAGGTCACTCTCACTTGCTTGTTCAGCACATTGCCTGCTGTACCATAAGCAATGCTCAGTTTCCACTTCATCGTCATCTTTCTCATCACTACTAGGCTCTACTGGATTGAGCTGCTCCAACTCCTCAGCTCTGTCTGGCTGACTTGAACTTTCAAATTCCATGTAACTGTCTGGTTCTTCTAACACTTCCGTTTCACTGTCAAAGATCAAATTCTGCTCACCGATTTTCCTTTCCTCTGCAATATCTTTATTCTCTTCACTCTCAGAAGTCATGTCTTTATCTTGTAAGTCATCAAAAAATGTATCTGACTCTGCAATGTCTTCTTCCCTTTCTCTAAAATCTGTCACATATGCCATGTCAATCACTTTCACGTTCTTCTCAGGGACCATTTCTTCAATACTTTCCTGTTCTAGTTCCTCTTTTTGTGAACCCGTTTCATCGGTGGTGATCTGAAGTCCTGCCAAGTCTATGTCATTATCTACTTCCTCATCTGAAAATGCTCCCATAATCTCACGTGGTCGTATCATGAAGATCCCTTTTGCTAAATATTGTTTGTATACTGTCCCCTCTTTTATTTTTGACATCTCTTCATATTCATAACTATCATCAATTTCAGTATAAGTTTCATTTTCCATCATACTCTCAACCATGTCTTGATTCTGTAAAGTGTTTAAAGCAACCATCAAACTATTAGTAGTTGAAAAAGTCGTCGTCCTGGTTATATAAATCACTGTAAAGATTTTACATTTTGCATCTATAAGCTAACAGGTGGTGAAGGCTCACTAATTCAAACTTTATAAACTGTGATAGATGCTAGGCCTGGGGGTTCATTAATTTGCCAAATAAATTATTACAACATGAGTTATAAATTAACAGGCTAAAATACAGAAATAGCATAATAAATATAACCTTTTTTTCCCTCACTAAAGACAGCCTCACAGACCAAACATAAAAGCAGTATGTGAAATATGGACTACATGTCTGTTTACAAAGAAGGAGTTCCCATTTCTACTCTTTCTAGGCCTGCTCTTTAGAAAGCTTTGAAATTTGAATTCTCAAGGAGACAGGCCCAACTGCCAGAACTTACTTCTAACCATATGAATGAGCCTTTCTTTTCGCAGAAACCCGGGAAAACTCAAGCCTAGCATCTAAGACAGTGGGAAGGAAAGACACAGGAAAGATGGCTGCTTGAGGCACAGCAAACCATTGAGGTAGTGAGCTCTCATGAGTTTAGTCAGGCATGAGACTAGCGCTCCCATGTTCAAAGACAGGCTGTCACTGTGCTTCTCATTTTAGTGGGCTGCCTATATGTTTTTATAATTCAGCAAGATCTTACTGAATTTTAAAGGATCTGGTTTTAAGAATTTTTTAACCTAATAATGTAGCGAAGGCAGTAGAAATAGAAATTAAATGATTTCCAAAGTCAAAACTCAACACAAATTACTTTCCTTTAGTAATTTCTAAATACCTCCTATTTTTATTTCATTAGCCTCTAAAGTCAGGACAAGTAAAATAATGAAGAGCAGGTCTTCATTTATCTAGGGTTATGTAAAGCACAGACTGGTTTTTGCTTCTGTCACAGTTACTAACTAAAGTCTCTCTTTTTCACCTATCTACAGCTGCTTACTAATTTCTAACTTTCATTTAAATCCTGCTTAATTCTAATCCTTCCTTGATAAATAAAGTCAAATTAAAATCTTGTAAATGATTATCAGATAGTTTACACTAAAAAGATCCACAAAATTGTAGAGCTAGCAAAATGTGAGTATCATCCACTAAAGTCTGCATAGTGACTCAAGTAAAGTCATATACAACCAAATTAAGAGATACACCTTGATAAACAGTAGCCATGATGACTATCTATTGCTTGGCGGAAAAGGACCATTATAATTTTAGTCAACAAGTGGATGAGCAAGTTCTAGCCATAAAATTCTATGAGAAAATCTGTACTAATAAAAGAAACCAAAAGGAAGCCATCTACATTGCATTCTTGTCTTTTAATTTTTAATGTAAGTGAATTTCTACTTTTTTGTCTTTTTTTCCAAAAAATTTCAAAGAAAGGCAATTAAAACTGTTCTTACCCACCATAATTAGACTATCAACTCTATGTGTTATACCTGTCGCTTTAGAATTGGTGAAAATGTTAATGACTTCTCATTGGAACTCAGGTTCATCCCATGTGTCTGAAATAAATAAAAATATATGTTCTAGATAATATGGAAAAACTATATGACTAATGAATGCAAAGATACTCAGACATTACTACAATCTATTTACAACTGCCATGTTAATGATGTCAGGATAGGAAAGCTGCTGAGAACTCCACATACTGACCTGATACTCAAGATACAGCATAAAGCAACCCAGCGCCTTTCAGCTTCTCCATATTAGCAGCAAACAGGAGCCCTTCCTGCTTGTGTAGATGGGTGGGTAAAAGAGAGTGGTGGAATGTGATACTGGAGTGACAGATTCTTAGAGATGGTTGGAGTTTGGAGACAGAATTCTGAGAAAAGAGGTGTCCCAAGACCAACTGCATGACAGTTGGCAGGTGCACCAAGGGATGGTAAGAGTGAAAAACAAAAATGCCTCAGTGAGCACAGCTAGTGCAGAATTTTGTACTCAGGGTTTATGGAAATCCTGGCATGAGCTAACAGACTTCTGAATTTAGCCTCTATAGGCCTGGATTTAAAAAGATAAAACTATATATCAATTCAACAAAATACTATGCCTCATAACATTTCATACATACATAGTATGTACTTCAGCCAAACTACCCCTCTACCACCCTTTCTCGGCCCCATTGTCCTTGTCCCCCTGCATAGTTCTCCTTCCTCTTTCGTATCCGTTTTTTTCTTTTCAGTCAAGATTGCACACATGAGAGACAAAATGTGGTATCTGTCTTTCTGAGTCTGTGGGCTTATATTTGGTTTCTTCTGAGCTGTGGCACTAATTACCACTCACCAATCAGCTTTAGAACTGTAAGACATTACAGTGTGGGGCTGGGGAAGATAGTCTAGATAGACAAGAGACTTGAAATCAGCACAGTAAACTCATTCTGGAGAATTTCTTTGTATTTCCAAGATTATTCTCAGGGTGCTGTAATTGGCCAGTCATCTTGGGATGGGTTTTACTGTATATGCTTAGGTACAATGAGAATTGAAGGTTACTATATTTTCCTATCTTTGCAACCATGCTGTGTAGCAATTTCCTCCTATTTGAAACATTCCATCTTGAAGGGAAGCTCACTAAGACTTAGGAATTAAGCAAATCACAAGTTTCAAGAAGTCACTGAAACATATAAGATCCACACAGTCCCTCCTTCCAGGTTATATAAGCAGTAAGGAGTACTGGTGAGAGGAGGCTCTCTGACCTGTTGAGTTGCCTTCAAGCTATATAGGGGGTTCCAAGGAGGTAATTTTTGGGCAGCATCACATGTACTGGGATGAGATTTTCAGTGGAGTCATCTAAGCACTTATAAGTAACCCCTCACACACATTCCTGTAAGTAGCCCACAATAAACCATTGGCTTATCAAGTTGGACTTTGGTGGTATTGTTAATTTGGTCTGTTTTTAGTTCCCTGTATGGAATGGTTGCATGTTCGTTTATGTGTCCCAAACAAAAGCTGAGCAACAGTTTCCAGGCAATAACTGCATTAGTTTGGTAGGCAGTAGTCTAGAGTCAAGTTGGCCTGGGGGAAGATATTCTGACACAATCCCCCTGAGAATTCTGTGCAGTGAGAAATTAGAGTGCAGTGCTGAGTAGAAAGGAAGGTGTTTTCCTGGAAAGTAGGATCCCCAGTGTTCAGAAACTAGAGAACCAAAGAGTTGTGCAAGATTCTGCATGATAGCCAGGTGTGTGTACAGACTCACATTGCACAAATCATGTCAAAACTTACTGATCACTGCTAAATAATCCACCCAATTGCAACTAAACACTACAGGACAAACTGATACCTCAAGATATATAAGGAAAGGGGTGCTAGTTGAGGAGGATTCATATGATAGTGTAACCCACATCCATTCCAACAAATGTGCAAATCTCAAAACAGAAGCATACTATGAAGGCTGTAGCCTTTAGACCATCATAAATTCAAGGCCAGATGGAACTACAGAGTGAATTCTAAGACAGAATAGCTACAAAATGAGATCTCATCTCAAAGCAATCAACAACAAACAAGCTATGAGAGGAAACACCTGGTTACATTTAAAGGCAAATCAAGTAGAATAAGAGATTTATCAGCACAAATTAAGGACTACAGAGAATGGAATAATGATGTATTTCAATTAATAGAAAAAATAACTGCCAATCAAGATTTTCATACTTAGTATGCTGGCTAATTTTATGTCAACTTGACACAAACTAGGAGGGAAACTCAATTGAGAAAATGCCTCCAGAAGATCCAGCTGTAGGCAAGCCTGTAGGCATTTTCATTTATGATTAATGGGGGAGGACCCAGTCCATTGTGGGTGGGGCCACCCCTGGGCTGGTGATCCTGGGTTCTGTAAGAAACCAGGAGGAACAAGCTATGAGAAGCCAGCTAGTAAGCAGCACCCCTCCATGGCCTCTGCATCATTTCTTGCCTCCAGGTTCCTGTCCTGCTTAAGTTCCTGTCCTCATTGCTTTTGATGACAAAATTTTATAAGGAACTGTGAGCAAAGTGTGAAATAAACCCTTTCTTCCCAAAGCTGCTTTTGGCCATGGTGTTTCATCACAGCAATAGTAACCTGAAGACACCTCGCAAGGTTATCCTTCAAAATCATAGGAGAAATATAGACCTTCCAAGATAAGTATGCACCAATGGAAGTCATGAGTAATAAACCAGCATCACAGAAGACAAAGCAATCCTACACCTAGAAGAGAAAGCAAAGCACACACAATCCTGAGAGTACTGAAAAGAATACATTTTGCTGTAAGACAGGCATACTCATGAGAAACAGTTAACCACTACTTCTAGAATGGGAGGAAGACATTCTAAGAAAAGAAGAAAAATATTTTTGGAAAGAAGCAAATCAGTAACATATACATACCTTTCAATAATAACTTTAATATAAATGGTGCCAATTTACCAACTAAAAGACACCAATTGGATGACCGTACTTTAAAAAAAGAGCTAAATGCTTTATGCAAAAAAATGCACCAAAGTCAGGCAGTGGCGGCGCGCGCCTTTAATCCCAGGACTCAGGAGGCAGAGGCAGGTGGATCTCTGTGAGTTTGAGACCAGCATGGTCTACAAGAGCTAGTTCCAGGACAGCCACCAAAGCCACAGAGAAACCCTGTCTCAAAAAACCAAAAACAATGCATCAAGAAAACATACAGAGAACTGGAAGATATAGAAATTTATTTCAAAGTGAATACATTCTGAACATAAGCAGGAATAGCTACACTAATACCTAACGAAATATATTGAATGCCAAAATTAGAAACCAAGACTGCTACAACATAGTGATCAAGGAAACAATTTATGAAAAAGACATTAAATACATATATATGCATATATGCTAACCATATATATATATATGTGAATATATATTAAATACTGAAGCACTCAATTTTATGAAAAATATACAACTATAGATAAAGGGAAAGATAGGCTACAACATAATAATAATGTTGATTTCAGAACTGTATTCTTACCCATGCAAACACTCAACACATTAATGTTACATATATTTCAGCAGATGTAGAAAGTACATTTCTTGACATCAGCATATAGAAATTTTTCCAAAATAGGTCACATGTAAGGTCATAAATGAAATTTTATAAAATTCAAAAACATTTTAATTTCTGACATCTTATCAGACCACATGGAATAAAAAGACAATAATAGAAATGAGTAGAAAGAAAAATTATACCCATTACACAAACACTTGAAGGTTGAATAATTGTTTTCAGTGACCATCAGACCCCTGAAAAATTCGGAAGAGGGGAATTTAAAATTAGTAAGATATATGAAAATGGAAACACAATATACCAGAACCTGTGGGCTACAGAGACAGCTGTACAAAAAGAATGTTTATAGTAGTTAGTGCTGAAGGAAAACAATCAAACAAAACAACCAAGGAAACCACAAAAACTAACAATGTATCCCAAGGCCTTAGAAAAATAAGAAGAGCAAAATCCAATCAGAAGGAAAGAAGTGATACACAATAAAGATCCGATGAGAAATGAATTAAATGGAGACTAAGCGACCAGCAGAAAAGATCAATGAAACAGCTACATGACTGAAATGTAAATAAAATAAAGATCAGATCAGAAATGAATTAAATGGAGACTAAGCGACCATCAGAAAAGATCAATAAAACAGCTACATGACTGAAATGTAAATAAAATAAAGATCAGATCAGAAATGAATTAAATGGAGACTAAGCGACCAGCAGAAAAGATCAATGAAACAGAGCTACACGACTGAAGCATAAATAACATGGACAACACCTTAACTAAACTAACCAAAGAGAAAACAGATACAAACACATAAAATAAGAGATAAAAATGGGACAATGTGAAGAAAAAGGAAACTTAAAACCCTTAGTAGCAATGGAAAGTAGTATAGCCATGATGGAAAAAAGTACAAAGTTTCCTCAAAAACCAAAAATAGAAGTGTTTATTATTTAAAAGGAACTAAACTACTATTAAATTACTAATAATTAAGTACTACTCATCATTAAAACTATTATTTAAAAATAAAATAATCTAATTCTACTAGTCTGAGGTTTATATGTGAAAGAAATGAAGTGCACATACCCACGTTTAGTGCAGGAATTCAATAGCTAAGTTACGGACTCTGTCAACATATGAATGGATAAAGAAAAATACACACACATACACACACTCTCTCCCTCCCTCCCTCCCTCCCTCCCTCCCTCCCTCCCTCCCTCCCTCCCTCCTTTCCTCCGCCCCCTCTCTTTCTCTCTCTCACACACACACCCCAGAGTGCTTACTTCAGCCATAAATAATAATTAACTCATGTCATTTTCAGAAAATCGATGTAACTGTAGGACATATGTTATAAATCAAACATAGACAAATATTACAAGTTTTCTCTCACAAACAAAAACTAAAGGGAAAGACGACCTGAAAGCAGAAGGTGGACTGTAAAGGGAAAGGGAGTGGCCTAGCAGAGGAGAGTAAGCATAGGGTAAGAGAGGGTCAAAGGGAGAATACACATGCCTTATGAAGGTATGGAAATGTTACAGTGAAACCTAATAATATTACTATGTACTATTAAATATTAGCAAAACAAGCTTTTTACAAATAAAAGAACATAAAAGGAACTAAAATTCACATAACTCATATCTAAATAGACAGGAAATAATTACCATATTTAAGATATCAGTAGTTTCACCAAAGTTTTCTGAATCCACTACTGAAGAATTTTCTGTCTCTGTCTCTTTGTTCATTTTATCTTCAAAATAATCTGAATGAATAAAAGCGAAAAGTCAGGCTTAGATCTAACAGAAATGAGAAAAGCAAGTGAACAAAAACTTGCTCTTCGATACATCTTGGGCTATAACTGCATCCAAGGCTCTTTAGTCTTGTGGTTGGAGATAAATAGCAGTCATTCACAGTAGCAGCACATTTTCAAATCTCAAATTGAAAGTAGCAACAACTTCATTTACAAGGACATGCAAACACTATTCCTTTGGAATAAGTACTTTTCAGTTGAGCTGTATGTATCAAGTACTGCAAGCTAGCCTTAAGACAGTCCCAATGATGCACACCACCCTGGTATTCTTATCTCTGTGTAGCTCCCCATGCATAAGATATGGGGTTGAGTTCTATGTGTATGATGAATCACATGACATGATTATAGTTTCTTAGTCACACATGTGTGCCTTATTTCTCTCTTTGGACTCCTTGCTCTAGGAGAAGCCATATTGTGAACATTTCTATGGAGAAGCCTCTATGTCAAGAATGTGAAGTGAGTGCCCTGCTAATGGTCAGATGAATGAGTTAGAAGTCAAGCTTCCAGATACTACCATACCATCTAACAGTGCAAGCCCATGAGAGAGCCTGAGCATAAAATGCTCAGCCAAGCTGCTCCTAGATTCTTGACTCTTAGAAGTTGTATCAAATAAGAAATATGTATGATTTTGACCTGCTAATTTTGGTCATTTTTAAATGTAGCAATGAAGAATTACTATAAGCACTTTGAACTCAAAAAATGGTATTATTACAAAGGAGAAAATTCCAAATCGATTGGCTCTATTGAACTTATACTTTTGTTGATTTGTCACTATGCCCTTTCTGGTCACCTGAACATCTTTGGGGTGCTCCTTGATGAAATCTCCATTAAAAATGTCAGTATACACTCATTGCTCTTTTTAAATCCTTTCGATTGATTGTAATTAAATATAAATAATTGTAAATTCTTCATTTTACATTCCTTTCATGAGATATTATGCAGAGAAAATTTAATTGCTAATAATTTCTGTGTTTCAATTATCTATATTTAACGCATGAGGCAGATGGTGTGTGTGGGCATGTGTATGTGTGTGTTCATTAAGAAATAGTAATGTAACTGTTAATCCTTAATGTGGATATTGGGAATCAGGAAAGACTTCCCTTGCATGCCACATGAAAGGATGCATAGAATTCTGAGATATAGGTGAAGGTATAGGTGGAAAGTGAAGCCCAATAGAACAAAGAAGTAGGGAGACACAAGGAGGTAGCTTATGTTGAAGATGTGCTGTGTGTCTGAAGCATATACTTTAACCAGTGTTGGGTTAACCCCATGACAATGAGAGGAAAGTAAGCTTCACTGGCTCTTCTGGTGCCTAGTTCTCATCTCAGTTCTATCTGACTCTGCAGCCCATGTTCTCTTCAGTGAGCCAAACTGAATCACTTGGTTTGATCAATACCAAGACCATAACTTAACATCTGAAAATATGTTTTGAAAGTTTCAGATGTTAAGTAAGCACAGGGAGTGTATAGCTGTCTTTAACATCACTTTCAATAAAGATTTTATTATTATTATTCCTGTAGCAAGAGGCTAGAAAAGGATGTCTGATCCTCCAAAGCTGGAGTGGTTGTGAGCCGTCCAACATGGATGCTGGGACTTCAACTCAGGTCCTCTGCAAGAGCAAGTATTCTTAACTGCTGGCCTTTCTCTCCAGCCCTCAACCTCTGACATTTTAGCATGAAAGCAGCCACTCACAATACATGAAGCAAATGGGATGGGTGGGTTTCCATAAATTCCCACTTATAAAAATAGGACACTAGGTAGATTTGGCCCATGAACCATAGCTTGTTATCTTCTAACCTAGATGATATTATAAGGAAATATTGCAAGATGAAGTTAGAAGAGTAGGTGGGGCTCACATGGGGAATTTTATACTTATTTTTATAAAAATCAGAAATCTTTAGAGGATAAAGAACAGATAGGCATTATACTGCACTTTTAAAAAAGATTAATGTGGAAACTCTCACAAAAGGATAGATGGGAGAATCAGAGAATGTAGGTTTGGAAAAGATACCGGTTTATATATACTGATATGACATTGCCTCAGGTTTGATTGAGAAAATGTAAGTCGTCACCAGACCTGATCTATCTATCTATCTATCTATCTATCTATCTATCTATCTATCTATCTATCTATCTATCTATCTATCTACCTATCTATCTCTATCCATACATCCCACATATCTCTATATATTTGTACCCAACTTATCATTTTTCTATAAAGTGTAGTTTATCTTCCTTGCTACCAAAGACTGTTTAGTATGCAAGCCTCTCAAGTGTTACCATGATCTCCTGGACTACTGGCTCACCTTTACTGGCTTACACGTGGTACCCCATTGTATCCTAAATTGGCCTCAGACTTCGCTCCAGCAGCTATCTGAATTCTTTGGGTTGCCTCATAACCAAACAGGCAAAATAATGATGTACAGATCTTAGTTCCTCTTCACTTCCTTATTCTCCTTTCCTGTCCCAAATTTTAACACTCTGGCTTCTGTCCAGATCTTTCCTTAGAGCTTCTCAGGTTGAGGTTGCTGGAACTCTCACTGATGTCAAATGCACTGGGAACTGTGTGAGTGTTTTTGTTTGAGCTCTGACCAGTAGTTTGCATGCAAAACACAACTCTGTCATATACTAATTTCCTGAGTCCATTGTTACTAACATTGGTCCTTCCTCCTTTACCTTCTAAATGACAAGTGTTCTTCCCACTTGCAGTTTGATTTCCCTACAATCCACAGCAACACAGGAGTGGCTATCTTAAAAGGTCAATTGGAGTGGAACACATCAGGGAAAAACATTAGACTGTAGAAAAATATTCAATCCAAATAGGTCTCTTCTAACCCATGAAAGGAATATTTTTCTTACTGTTTCTTTCTCTGTCAACATACTCACCTGAAATTTCTCCCATCTTCTAATTATACTGGCTGTCTTTTCTTATACACTGCCTCCAAATCTTTGTCTCTAATATTTTCTGTCTGAAATGCGTACATTCTGTCTCTTTGTGTGGCTGATTCTTTTCGATACTTTACATTTTCATTAAATTTAGTCATAAAAAGTTTAACTTAAACTTTAAATCTAATTCTTATTTATTCAAACCACAAAATTATAAAATTATATATCAATTCATGCTGCAAGCTCCTGAAGTCTGAAATCATTTTCCTACACTATTAACTCATCTTTTTCTGAGAACACTGCTTGACACAATCTGCTATTATTTTCAACATTTTTAAATGTTTTTGAAATTTTTATTTTTAAGAATTTTAAACATGTATACAATGAAATATGATCATCTGTATTCCACACATCTTCCTCTAATTCTTCCCATGCTCCCTCCCTACTTCACATCTTTTTATGTTTAAGGTTAAAAAGCACCACCTGGCCTTGACGCTTATGTTTAAACTAGCTCGTTATTGATGTCCTGCTTATAGTGACTATTCCATGTCTGCTCTGGGTCCATGGCCCTTTACTAATTCAGGCATTTGCCTAGGTTCCTCAAAGATACAAAAAATCATCTTTGCCATGCTTTATCCTCGACTCTTAGGTTTCATTTTCAATACTATTGGTGTGTGTGTGTGTGTGTGTGTGTGTGTGTGTGTGTGTGTGTGTGTGTGTGTGCCTGCATGATATGGTATATGTGTGAGGGTCAGAAGACAAGTTTGTGGAGGCAGTTCTCTCCTTGCACCTTTATGTGAAAAGCAGGAATAAACTCTGGTCACTAGGGCCTTCGCATCAAATGCATTTAACCTCTGATCCACCTCACCAGATTCTGTTTCATATTTTAATCTCCTAACTCTTGTTTCTCTGATCTCTTGGTCATGAGGCTATATTCAAGTATACATTTGTAGTAATGCACAGCTTCACCTAAGGTATACTAATAAAATTATGTAGAAGAGGTAAGAATAGTTAAAGGTGAAATATTTATATGTCCTGAAGAAAAAACAGAGAATAATCATTGTATAACAGTAAACGAGTTGGGGCTATAATTTAAATTATGAAATCTATAGCTAATATGCAATGAGGTAGAGGTGTTAATGATTTTAGGTATATTTAGAAAGGGGTTTACAGAGGTACTGAATGCATTACCAGGTATTTTACATGCTAGATCTCACTTAAGCTTACACCTACTGCCCTAATTATGTATTTTCAAACTTTTCTGAATTATTCTTACTATGTATGCATGGTGTATGTGTACATATGTGCCATGTGAGACAACTTAATGCAGTCGGCCGGTTTTCTTTCAACCTTTATGTGGGTCCCAGAGATCAAACTCAGGTTGCCAGTCATATATAGCAAGGGCCTTTATCGTCTGTGTGATCTTGCCAGAACTTTGAGTATCATCAAACCCATTTAAAAGATAAAGAAACCATGGCTTTGAGAAACTAAAATGGTTCCATAGTTTAGAAGTGCCAGACTTAGCATGCAATTTACATTAACTGAGTTGCATAACTCCATGGTGAAGCACATACGGTGCATTACAGTGACAGTAGAGAACTTCCAGTTATACCCTGTCCACTACATTCATCAGCTGAATGGCTATAGGAAAGTCACTTCATTTCTTTGAGCCTTGCTTTTCTTAGCCATGAAATAAAGACTATATTCCCACCTAAGTCATGAAATTTGCAGGCCTAGAATGAATCTATGTGATTTACCCATTGCTCCATAGTGTTGCTGCTGTGGTGTGTATTGTGTGGTGTATATAGATTTTAGCTCCAATTAGAAATGCCACACTCTAACTAGGGGGAGGATAATATAACAAATGGAAAAAAACAGGTGTTTCATTTATTTCCAGTTATGGGAGTGAATCTCGGGGCCTTACCCAAATCAAACAAGTACTATAATTACACCACAAACCTAGGTCCCTGGCCCAGGAGAAAACATCTTGAGATAAGCATGAAAATGACAGGAGTGCAAGTTCCATTTCCTTTGAAAGCAGGCCAACATTACCTGAGTCCAGTGGCTCCACAGAGTCAGAGGGGCTTTTCTCTTCGTAGTTATCCATAGACAAACGGAAAGGGATTGAACTGGGGGAAAAATAACCCGCTGAAGTGGAAGCAGAAGTCCCCTCTAATGGAGGCAGTGCTCCCACCATTGAAGCAGGACATGGGGGTCTCTCCTTCAAAAGAAGGTTAAGCAAACTGTCAAATGATGTTACATATAATATCTGCAGTTTACTATGGTTACAGAAAATAGTTAAGACAAAAGCCTTAAAGTCTGCCAATGTACCACAACTTGAACATAGGTATTCGTATTCCCAAGGACTCAAAAGCCTTCTGGTTTTTTTTTTGTCTTAGTGCATTGGGTATCCTAAATTGTCATTATCAAAGTCTATTTGTCATGTGTTAGGGAGTGTGTTTGTCTTTCATCACCTACTCTGAGAAACAAAAAGTTGCTCATAAGGTAGGCTGATGGGACAGTCTTCAATATTTCATATATACTTTTTTCATAATAAAATACAGATGTAACACTTTTACTTCAAAAGGAATACATTTTAGAACTTAAAACAATTTTCAAAGCTTTTCAGTATTTAAATATTTTTCTTTTAAAGACATGTAACTTATATAGCATTGTTGAAGCATAGAGTCTCTAAATGTAATTGGTAGGAAACATTCTCTGTCTCTAAGTGAAGGACCGATTTCTCTGTTTCCCATGTTTCATTGTTTATAGTCTATAACCTTCTACTGCTTAGGAGGCTTAATTAACAGAAGGTCACATAATGCTAATGATTGAATGTCCCATATCTGCTTACAATCTCTTATACTAACACTGTTTGTACATTCTTAAAGCTGTGTTACATGGGTAGAAATGTTCTTAACACAGTATTTAAAAAAGCATGTAACAAATAGTCAATCCACATACAGCTTAAGAAAAGATCAAGGGATCACTCACTTTAAAGTAGGAAGATCTACACAAATGTGCTGTGTGGTTGAGGATTATAAACAAAGGTTATTCTAGGTAGTTTGAATTTTCCAATTTGTATTCTTTAATATTAACTCTGAACTTACTACAAAAGTTTAAAAACCTTTACCTCTGACCATTTTCATCTTGAAAGACCCTCCCTTGACTTAAAAGAAAAGAGAGTTGTTCCTGTTTTCTTTGTAGTGGTATATAGTACTATTACACAGACTAAACCACAACTGTACCCGCTCTCTTCGCCGCAGACGCGCTGATAAAGATCTACTCAGTGGAGTTCCTGGGGCAAGTTCACTGAAGGGAATAGAACCTGTACTTAGGTAAGGCTCATAGACTTCTTCAAATTCAGATTCCTCTATTGTACCAAGTCGTGGGGTGGCAAAAACTAGCATGTGACATCCACCACAGGCAATCTGCAAGCATGAATCCACAGAAAATTAATTAATGTTAACATCAAACACAAATGGGCTAACAGTTGTCAGATCAGCAACAAGACATTAATTTATAGCTAAACTGAGACTGTCTGGCTCATGGCTTTTCTCTGTTCTATCACTCCCCATATATTATATGTATATATGTCATATTTACATAGGTATAAGTACACATATACATATGCCCATTATCATACATGCAATCCTAAATTCAATGAACCAAAAAGGCATGAGAGTAATAGATGTGCTACTTGAAAAGAAGAAAGTATTGAGACAGAGAGGAAAAAGGATATGAGAGAATAAGGAGATGAATGCAATCACAATACATACATACATACATACACACACACACACAATTGTCAAAAATAAAAGAGATTATGTCTCTAAGCCTTTGAAAGAAAACTTTCTAAATTAAAGGCTTACAAGTCTTTAGAGGAAAATACAAGCACACTGAAAAAAAATAATGAAAAATAACCTACAAAGAGTTTTAAGTAGTAACTAGTTTTCACACAAATTTTAACAAAAAAACCTATACTAATGACTGCAGTAAGAGAGAGAATTAGTCTTCTCTAGAAAGGAGCCCTCTCACTGCTTATCCAATGCCAGTGGCCAGCCCCGGAATATGTCCAGTGAACAACTCAGGAGGTTATACTTATATACTTACTTGTTTATATGTATATATGAAAATATATAAAGGAGAGGATGCAAATTAGGGAGAGAAGAGACATGGAAAATTGGAGGGGAAGGAATGAAATTATATTTTAATTATAGGAATTAGCAAATCTATCTCAATAGTAATCCTAAATACAAATGGTCTTAAGTTGTCAATAAAAGCCATTGGAAAAGGAGCCTATACTCTTTCTCAGACTCAGATTCTAGCCCTTTGCAGTGCTGTCCCTGGTGATATTAGAAGAATGCATAGTCTGCACCTGGCTTTTATTAAAATTTCTTCTAGCTTTTTGCATATTCCTCTTTAAAAGTATCCTCTCAATAAAGATCACCAAGTAAGCAGTTGGTATCTTGTCTATCACTGAATAATTTGTATTCCTAATGCATAGATCTTATACATAGTAAGTTTTCATTAAATGGTTATTATCTTAGCTTCTCTTCCTCTCTCTTCGATAAAAGCAACTTAGGGGTTTAGTTCAGCTCTCAGGTGCAGGGTGAGGCCAGTCATAACAAGAGAATCCCAGTGGCAGAGCTCGAGGGACTAATCCCCTGCTAGTAAGCGCTCAGCTTGCTTTCTCCTTTTCATGAAGTTCAAGTTGCAGCTGGTGAAATGCTGCTGTCAGCATTCAGGATGGGTTTTTAGACTTCACTGACCCTAATTAAGAAAATTCCCATGGGCATGCCCACAGGCGAACTTAATCTAGACAAGCCCTGATTTAGGTTCACTCCCCAGGTGATTCTGGATTGTGTCAAGTTGGCAACTCAGACTATCACAGTTATCAAATTAATAAGAGAAGTATTCAATAGTATGAGACACAATGTCTTCAGAGAAGCAGAATGAGCACATGCAGCACTTTCATGTCTCCAGCGCTTAGCTGGCAAAAAGACTAGAAACAAGAAAACAGAAAGAATGATGACGACGTGACACTGCATAGGTAAGTTCTTATCTGAGTGTTCAGCCAGAAAATCTTTTGCAATGCTGTTCACTTACTATCACGTCTCTTCTTGTGCAGGGTTTGAGAGTGTCCAACCTTCTCCAGTCACGTTACATTTGCCCTATTAGCCTTGTGAGCAAGGCCTTCTACTGTGTACATGCTACAGGAGACACAAAGCTTACAAGCATGGCCCAGTCCCAGTTTTCAAGAGAAAAGAACATGAAGCAGATAAGTCAATATTTGTACAAAAATGTTGTTGAGAGCCAGGTGCTGGTGGTGCACACCTTTAATCCCAGCACTCAGGAGGCAGAGGCAGGCAGATCTCTGTGAGTTCAAGGCCAGCTTGGACTACAGTGTGAGTGCCAGGACAGCCTCCAAAGTCACAAAGAGAATCTCTGTCTTGAAAAACCAAAAAAAAAATGTTGTTGTGGGAGCAAAATAGGAAAACAAAAATTTCAGAGTAGTATGGTGTCTACCATTTGGCTCTTATAAAATTGCTTATAGTTGTTATTAGCTATATCCATGAAATGCTCATAACAAACATAAAATATATATTTTTATGAAAATAACAAAAGTTTCCTTCCACTCTAAACATATGAAAGTATGCGAGAGGGAATGTGAAACCCTTACCAATTGAACTGTAAATCTCAAAAAATTAGAGCACAATGTAGGAAAGAACTGATTGGTAAAATTCTCCATTCCAAGTCCTAATTTTCCATGTCGGCCATCTCCAAAAGTATACATGAGGCCTATATCTAAAATGCAAACAAAATTGAAGTTATTCAAGTTCCATTTGTACAGATCTAGTTATAGACAAATACCTTAACTTCTACTACAGTTAAAATCTTTTCACAGAATGCTGAGTTAAATTCATTGTGGTCTACTGACCTGTGCAAAGTATAGTGTTTGTGGTTCTTCATATAACGGTAGGCAATAGAACTGAGAATGAATCACTAAGTCTTGTTGGTCAAAGACTTATGTGTCTGTCCTATGCACTGTAGTCTATCTAGTACCATCACTGGCCTCTGCTCACTACATGCCAGTACAATAGCCCCTTTCTGAAGAAGTGAAAATAAAAAAAAAATGTCTCCAGATATCATCCTTCTCTTCCAGGGTGCAAATCTATCATTTGGTGGAGAACTATGTCATGCAGAACGCAGGTGTCACTTTTATTAATTTGGATCCTGGGCTATGGGACGCTACCTAAGCAATGCCAGGAGTCACCTAAGCATTCTGACCAATTCCCAGGTCAATATCTGGGTGTTGGCTGTCTTGATCAGCACATAATGATGAGCAATTCTGCCACTTCTCTCTCATACCATCATGTATTGACACAGCAGTTGCATTTAACTTTTGCATTTCTTCGCATGCTCCTCCTTTATAGCCTGCATTTAAAGGGTGTGTGGTAAGTGCCACAGAACTGAGGTCAATCAGGATATGTATGGGTGAGGGAATTTCCCTCTAGGCAATGTATTAGAGAAGGCTTTCAAAGTGAATCCTAAAAGATAGAATTTAGCTATAAGAAGGAAATATGGCCTCCCATCCAAGTACTAACCAGGCCAGACCCTGCTTAGCTTCCAAGATCAGATGAGATCGGGCATGTTCAGGGTGGTATGGCTACAGAAAGGGAGAACTGATGAGCAAAGGGGTTAAGACTGGGCTGGTGAAACCCACAGAATCAGCTGACCTGAACAAGGGGGAGCTCCTGGACCCCTGACTGATGGATGGGAATCCAGCATGGGACTGATCCAGACCTCCTGAATGTGAGTGTCAGTGAGGAGGCCTAGGTAATCTATAGTGCCTTGGGTAGTATTTATCCCTGGCATACAAATAGATTTTGCATGCCCATCCCACAATGAGGGATGCTCTATCAGCCTGGACTCTTGGGGGAGGGCCTAGGCCCTGTCCTGAAAAAAATGACAGACTCTGGAGATCTCCCACAGAGGGCCTCACCCTCCCTGGAGATGGGAGTGGAGATTGGTTGGAGGACTGGGGGGCAGGGAAGGAGGGAAGGGAGAGGGAGCTGGGATTGACATGTGAAGCAAGCTTGTTTCTAACTTAAATAAAAATAAAGGAAGAAAAAAAGAAGTTGATGAAAAAAAAAGAGAAAAAAGTAAATAAAAATTACCTTTTAAAAAATGAAGGAAGCATGGTATCCTCCAGGCAGACTCAGCAGTACAAGGGAAAGCTTGCATAATAACAGGTCAGGCTGTAATCAGCATGCCGGATGAACAGTTGCAAGCTTTTTAAGTGAAGGGCTTTAAGCTGGGAAATGATTAGCTCATATCTGGGGATTTCTGACTGAAGAAGACAAGTGGTTGTACACCAAGAGAATCTCCCACCCCTAACTGAATACTGACTTGAAATAATAACCAAAATTCAGTAAGATGGTAAGTTACTATTGTAATTTACAAAAGTAAGCAAATTCCTTTAATGTGTGCTTTTCCAGGATGATTTTCTTTTGCCTGAAAAAGTAAACCCTTATCTCATTTGCTTGATTATATTTCCAAGTTCAAAGAACATGTGAAAATATGAGCTATTGATAGGGAACTGGCAAGAATTTAAGAAAATTCAATAGGTAAAATTGTACTAGGTGTACTAGAGAAAGAAAATATCTAACACTTGTTCCCTGGGGAGGTGAAAAAAGTCAAACTTAATATTCAGTTATTAGTGCCATAACCCTTTTCATCTGAAAGAAAAAGTACTACGCAAAATTAACTGAACCATCTATAGTAAGACAAATGATACATAAAAAGTATGTTTATCATCAATGACAATTTAGGGTTGATGAAAAATGGCATTGTGTACAGAAAAGCTATTATTGGGGCACCACAGTAAGGGACATATATCAACAGCTCCTATGTGACAAGGAAGGAATAATATGTTTTTGTTTTTGTTTTTGATTCTACATAGTGCTGTTACATGATATGCAATGGGGAATATTGATGATGGCAGGTCATTTTTCTTGAAGGGTTCTGTGGGAAAGAGGGAACTATTTGTGGTAGTTGCTTGCATTTTCTAATTCCTAGTTTCTCTAAAGGGAGGAAAACAAAGTATGACAGTCTGTGTTATTCAAATATGCTAGAATCATTTCTTGACTTTTTCATGTTTTACTTTTTTTAAGAAGAAACAGGAATTATAGGTTCTTTTGTTACAAAGCATTTAAATTTTCAATAAGTTCCCTGCAGCGAATGGCTAAGTCATTCCTAGGGAGAAGTTTATTGAGTCCCACATATCAACAGCATCTAATTTATGAGACTGAGAAGTGGGCCAACAGAACATCTCCTTGGTAATGCAGAAGACAACAAAGAGACATGTATTTGCTCAGTGGGTTTTGAAGTGCCCTTCTCCAAAGGGAAGGAAAGAGTCAATCCTGAAATGCCCCCTGATGGTCATCACAGTGCCCTTTTCTCTACTACTTTGCAAAGGGAAGGAGTGAGTCGTGAAACGCCCGATGGTCAAAACATCCTAAAAAATGTCACTCTTCTACAATGAGTAAGTAGAAAGAAGCTTGTGTGATTTTTCTCTCTGGCTTGAGGAGAGTTTGGAGTTAAGAGCCTTCCAACTGATACAATTTCAAAAGGATTTTACTGTCTTTAGGTCTACTTTAGGATTCGGGAATGTGGGTCATTTTTGTTTGGGTGCTAGGAACTGAACTAAAGGCCTCATAAAAGTAAGAACATGTGTTACCACTGAGCTACACCCTGCCCCGACATTTGCTTTCATCTGACTTATACATTCATTTTATAATGAGCTATATTCAATTCTATAAACAGAAATTGGAGAAATGATCTCATACCTGTCATCAAAGCAGTATGATTTTCTCCACAGGAAACATAACTTATTTTCTGATCCTTAATATGCTCAATGACTTTGGGTTCCGATGTTTCAAAAAGAAAAGTGCCAAGGCCCAGCTGGCCAAACTGTCCAAGTCCAAAGGCATACACGACTTTCTCTAAAAGGAAATGAACACATAAATGAAAAGAATTGTAAGGAGGTATATCATATCTGAAATAACTGTGACATTCAAACTTTTGTAAGGGACATTAACTGCCTATGAAAGAGCTACTCAGAAAAATATTGATATGAGGTGCAAATTTCCAAAGATGAAAGGAAAGAAAACTTAAGTGTTATACAATAACTCTCTGGGTCTGACTTTGTCTTTTATGAATAACCATAAAAGGAATTATTAGAATCATCAGGTGGGTTACAAGACATATAATTCAGAGAACTTCCTGACATGTATTTCTAATTACTGCATCAGCTCTGAAAATCTTAAATGTTATTAAACTATTTGCTTTCACTGCCAGAATTAAAACAATCCTACAAAGATAGTCCTTTCAAAATTAGTTGAATAAAAGCTATTTTATGAAACACATTTTGTGAGCTAGAGGTAAAGTACTTGCCTAACATGTACAAGGCCACAGATTCTCACTGTAGAACATCACACACACACACACACACACACACACACACACTTCAGAAAATTATTTGCAAAAGAATTAAAAATTATAGTAGATGTGCTAGATATATTCATAAACAAACTGTCTTTACAATTCAGGCGGCCTTCCTCTATATTGATGTTTTTTAGGTGACTCCAAAGGTCCATCAATAATTCAGTAAATTTGAGCTCATTTATCATGTAGAGATAGGAAGCTGAGCACAAAGCAAGGTATATGATTGATGACGGAAGAGTTACTGTGGGAACAATTTGGCTGATCAGTATACTGAGAGACATGCTTGTCAAGTTACTGTCTTCAGTGGAGTCTCATAGGAAGGAGAGTAGGATCCCCTCACTAAAGGCAGAAATGAATCTTCTTATCCCTAACTGCAGCCAGTGGGCAGGTTCCTACACCACCTGATGTTAAAACCATAGCTAATACATCCTATGCAAATTCCATCCAAGCAAATGTAAGAAGATTCAGTTGTAAATAATTATCTTTCTGAAAAGTATCTACTTAGCTCATCTGAAAATGAGGGGTACTGATGAACACCTAACTATTGTCACATATTTTACATTTTCTCTCTAATAAGAATGCTTGAGGGCTGGAGAGGTGGCTTAGTGGTTAAGGGCACTGGCTGCTCTTCCAGAGGACCTGGGTTCAATTCCCACTACCCACATGACAGATCACAACTGTCTCTAACTCCAGTTCCAGGGGACCCAACACCCTCACACAGAGTATATACACGCTTGAAATATAAATAAGGTAGAGATAAAATTCCTTAAAGAAACCATATCTTTACCAAGGATATGAAGGCACATTGAGGTAATGACAAGAGATTTCTTATTTGAATATTTAATATTTTAATATAACAATATAATTTTGTTATTTGAATATTATCTCTTAATTAGTAGATCATATATCATATTGTCTGCAATAAGTGCGCTAATTTTCTCTGTTTTTCCTTTCTCACAACATTTTCTCCTGAATTTCCCCATTCAAAGTTGCCTGACACAGACAGACAGGAAATGGCTATTAAAATTCTCTAGAGCATTTCTAATTGTGAGTTGCTACAGATTAAGCAATGGCTGGACTTATTATTTTTTATTTTTATATCTCTATGTGTGTGTGCTTGAATGAATGCAGGTGTACCATATGCATGCACGTGTCTGCAGAGGCCAGAAGAGTGCAGTTAAGCCAGTAGCTGCTCTTACAGAGGACCTGAGTACAGTTCCCAGTACCCACACTGGGTTTCTCACAACTTCCTGTAGCTCTGAAACCAGAGCTAGTGGTTTAAATGCTGAACCATCTCCCCAGCCCTTATTAGTTTTTTTTTACTAAAAACCCATAATAAAATATATTATCTAAATATAATAATATTCATTTAAATAAAATCTGATGCTGAACAAATTTGGAGACCTCTATTTGGTTTTCATATTACAAAATAGTGAGTATATTTCAACATATTGACTAGAAAACTAAAATAATATGGCATATTATACTAAATAGGAAATTCATAAGCCAAAGATATTATTTTGAAGGTTTTATATTTCATTTTATCTGTAATCTGAAACTTTACCACCTTATAATGACTTATTAGAGCAGATTATCAAAATCACAAAGAAATGTTTAAGTTTATACATTATAAACATAAAACATCAAAATCAGAAAATAGGAAGACAGCTTCTTAAAATGGAAGTATTTTAGGGAATATATTAATTTTCAGATGAATATGAGATATACATATGAATATAGTTTGCTGCCACTAAGCATCTGATGGCTGGGGAATTGTCGATCAGCAGAATGATTAAGATTCAATTTTTTCCTACTTAAAAATGTCTTCCAGAACCAGAAATATGTCTTAACTATATAAATGAAAGGCAGGAATCATAATCCAAAGAGATACAAAGACTGCTTCCCTAAGGGAATCAAACTCATAGAGACTAAGAATGGTGGTTTCTAGGAACCAAAGGATGGGAAAGAGGATGCACTACAGAGCAGACACATAACTCAGTTATATAAGAAAGGTTTTAAAGATACGACATCATATGTATATGTAACAATCGCACCTTATAAACTTTAAAATCTTTTTAGAAGTTAGAGCTCATGTTAAATATTCTTTTTCAGACTTATTTGTGTGTGTGTGTGTGTGTGTGTGTGTGTGTGTGTGTGTGTGTGTGTGTGTGTGTGTGTGTGTACGCCAGAAAAGGTTGTTGGGTCCCTTGGAGCTGGAATTACACAAAAACCTGTGAGCCGGTCAACTCAGGTGCTAGAATCCAAACTTGGTTCCTCATGATGGAAGAGCCAGTGCTCTTAACTGCTGAGCCATCTCTGGAGCCCCAAGTATTCGCTTGTCACAGTAAAGAGGATCATGAGAGTGTCACTAGCTACTACTGAATACAGAGAGGAGCAGAGACAGCTCCACACATACCTGTGAGAACCACAGTGTGTCCTCCACCACAGGCTACCTGAATCACTTTCTCGGGAATGCCCAGCACACGCTGGGGTGATCTGTGATTGATCAGCAGCTGATCGGGAAGGCCCAACTTCCCATTCTCGGGTTCGCCAAATGTGTACAGTTCTCCATCCACTGTCAGAAGAAAAGTAGAAAGATTAATGGGAACATAAACGTAAACAGAGTACTGGTCCTTTGGTGCATGTTCTCATACTCCATAAAAACTCAGTCAGTAAAAACTCAGTCAGGGGAACTAGAGAGTTGGCTCAGAGGTTAAAAGCACTGGCTGCTTCTCCAGAGGTCCTGAGTTCAATTCCCAGCAACCACATGGTGGCTCACAACCATCTGTAATGAGATCTGGTGTCCTCTTCTGGTGTGCAGACATACATTCAGGCAAAACACTGTATACATAATAAATAAATCTTTAAAAAAAGCTCAGTCAGTAATGTAGTCAATATGATCTTGCTTAAGATATCTTTCACCTTGAAGTTATTTTAATCTGCTATTTTAATCCAGTGCCCTTCACAAAGAATTCATGACTATAAAGAACTAGAAAATCATTTTAGCTTCTCCAGAAAATATAGCAAAGACTATCTTTCATATTCTCTATACCTTTATGGCATGTAGGTGTGCATATGCGTTGGTGGTATCCGGTACACTATTTTATCTGGGCATCTGATTATTAAGAAACAGTCGGTTTTGCTGGGCAGTGGTGGCCCATGCCTTTAATCCCAGCACTTGGGAGGCAGAGGCAAGTGGATCTGTGTGAGTTTGAGACCAGCCTGTTCTACAAGAGCTAGTTCCAGGACAGCCTCCAAAAAAAATACAGAGAAACCCTGCCTCAAAAAACAAAAACAAAAAAATAAATAGTTGGTTAGAAGGAGAGCCATGACCATTCTTCTATTGTTACTAGTATAGCTGCAAATGTAGATATCAACATACATGTAAATTCCAACAGTTCAACAATTCCAAGCAGAGAAGACTTAATGGGCTGTAGATACTGAGAAAAGTCTTACCAAACAACGAAGGTCTCATCCTTTTGCATATAATCTTCACCCTGGTACTCCCAAGAATACTCTAAGACTCACTTTTTTGAAACAATTAAAAAATTACCAGGACAGGAAAAATAGAGCAGGAAAAGTAGAGAAGCAAGTGAATCCAGGAGAAAGTGACTCATGAGTTGTTTTTAATGGCAAACAAGGCTAAGAAGTTTGAGAACTAAAATTTAGAAAGGTTTCTAAAACAGCAATTTAATTTTTATAATAGACCCAGTATTCACTTCCTAAAAAGTTGGCATGTCAGAGAAAATTTGAAATTACAAATTTCAATATAGAAATGGAGAAATGTTTTGAATGAAAACATACATTAAAGACTATGCCTTCAATGATCATTTTTTACTTCATAAAACATACATTATTTCAGTAGCTGAACAACCAGTGAACTATAACTCGTTTTAATAGCATGTAAATGTAACTCATCATTACTAGTAATGATTGACGAATGAAACAATGTGTTCATCTTACTTGTTACAAAAGCTGAATGGTAATATCCACAAGAGATCCATGAGATTGGCTTCCCAACAGTCACTTCATGAGGGATACACACATTGCTTTTATTTTTTAAACCGATCTGCCCTTCAGAATTGTCACCCCACATAAAGAGTTTTCCATCCTCTATAAAGAAAGCACAAGGGAAGAAAAGTCTTCAAAATTGAACTGAGCTCTCAAACTATGACATTTCCTATAGACTATCATTTGTCTTCTGGTTGATACTTCTTTAGTCTTATTTTATTCTTTACTGATGTATAACTGTAGGCATTTATGGAATACGACATGATACTTCAAAATGCATATATATGATATAATGATCAATACAGAGTGATTTATCCAGGACTTTAAACATTTATCTTTTCCTTGGGTTTAGAACACTCAAAATCCTCTGCCAACCACTGTTAGAAATGAACAATGCAGCCAGGTGTGGCAGCTCATGCCTCTAATCCCAGAGCTCAGGGGCAGTGGCAGGGGCTTGCTGTGAATAAAGCCAATCTCTAAGCTACAAAATACACACCAGGCCAGCTAGATTTACAAAGTAAGGCTGTCTCAAAACAAACAAAAAGGAGAAAAAATAAATACACAATACATTATTATGTGTTCCTGAAAATGGTAAGTCATAAAAGCCATTTATACCAGCTTGTGGCCTGCACGTTCGATTTCTACAGTCATATGCTCTATAAGGGTAAAGAGCAGAGAATGAGTAGTAGATGCCAAATCACTTTAGTTATGCTCATATTTTCATCTCAATAGTAAACACATGATAACATTTCCTACAGTCACTTTGTACCCTTTTAAGGTCTCCACACAGAAACGATTCCTCCCTCCAGGGAGTGCGCCTGCCACTGAATTGAGAGACAACAGAAAGCAACTACATGTCTCTGAATGAAAAGAGCAAGCTCCCAAATAAAAACTTGCTCTGGGGACAACATGGAAATGCTTCAAAGGAGTAAGAAAAAAAAAACCAAAACACACAATGAATCTCACTAATCTTTGTTTTTACTTTTGAATACCTGAAAATATAGCCTGCCTAGTTTCAGAGAATGAGACATATTAGCATACATCATCTTAAAAAACACATTCACTTATGTCCTTGCTGATAAGGTTTCAGTGTTGGGGATAGTTAAGCTTGTTTATTTCTATTTTTTGAAACAGCATCTTAACTGTGTAGCATAGGCTAGCCATGAACTTATGCCCATTATGGCTCTGACCTTGAAGTTAAAGAGATTAACAGTGCAACAATGCCCATCAACTTCTTTTTAAGAAATTTATCTTCAAGACAATTTAATAATACATCAAAAAGCTGGGCGTTAGTGGCGCACGCCTTTAATCCCAGCACTCAGGAGGCAGAGGCAGGCGGATCTCTGTGAGTAGGGCCAGGCTGGACTGACAGCCTCCAAAACAGAGAAACCCTGTCTCGTAAAACCAAAATAATAATAATAATAATAATAATAATAATAATAATAATACATCAAAATTAAAACTGAAAATGAAAACTGAAGGAGTGACATTGAATAATAAACTATATAGTTAAACAACACCAGATGTTGTTTTATCTCTCTCTACTTGGATGAAAGCTGTAAGCCAGTAGTTTCAGTGAGATCACATGGATCATGGCTCCAAGTTCTCATATCTACTTTTGAGAAGGAAGACAGAGCTATATAATACCCATTATAACCCACACTTTAACAACACACATCCCAGCCGCTTCTACCAATATTTCTCATACAAACTTCAGTTAAAGCCACAAGTGCACCATTCAGAATATACAGTGAAGATAACATTTAAGAATATTTAGATGGGGTGGTGATGGCACTTAAGAGACAGAGGCAGGAGGATCTCTGTAATTTTCAGGTCAGCCTGGTCTACAGAGTGAGATCCAGGACAGCCAGGACTGTACAACACAGTGAAACCCTGTCTCAGAAAACAAAAGAAAAACAAAAAGAAAAGAAAAGCTGAAAGAATAGCTAGCTAGCAGAGCTGAGAACTTATGTAGCAATCACGGGTATTTGTCTCTCACTCAAAATATGCATATAGACTCCAAGTTCCATTTTTAAAGCCTTCTGAAGCTCCACAGAATGCTAATACTATCACACATTTACTAAATTTGTATGACTTAAAAGAAACGTTGTGTCCAGACAGAAGCACAAAAAAGTCTTACCAGTTAATGCAGCTGATGTATTAGCCCCAGCAGAGAGCTGTTTGATGTTATCTTTAGATGTAAAGAAGAAAATTTGATGAAAAGTGTCTCTGTCATCAGTGTCACCAAGTCCTAACTGTCCTTCATTATTTCCTCCAGCTGCGTACACACTGCCTCTATCTGTACACATAAAAGAAATGTTAATTACCATACTGAAGTCACCCAGCTTTTGAGACATGCTGGCAAATAGCAGATACATCCTATATTAACAGAGAAAAGGGTATGAGCAAATGGGAGTGCAGTAGAGACAGCTAAGGTACAGAGGACATCTAGGAAACAAGAGTGATGGGGAGAACAGGGTGCAGGTAAGACTAGTAAATACGGCACTGCTAACTCTTCAGCAGCATGTGGTAAAAATGGCCTTCCCTCCACTGAACTGTCTTCAAAACTCTTAGAAACCAGCTGCTGGGGCTACAGTTTGGTAGGAACGAACCAGAAAGCAGAAATCGGCTACAGATATATGTGCTGGTCTGCTCCTTGACACTATTTTATTTCACTAACCTTCATCTACTCTTTGTCAATATACATTGCATTATTATTGTAACTGTATGAGAGGGACTGGAATCAGAATATTGCTAGCTTCAAGCGTTGTTCTTTTTAAAAATTGTTAGGACTATTGTGTATCTCCTTTGATTTTCTATATAAATTTAAGAATCACTTTAGGAACTTTTAGACACATTAGACTTCCTAATTAGATTTTGATTGAAACTGAGATGACTGCTACCCAAAGCATTTCCTGTGACTTCCATTCAAATTCTGTAGTAAAGAAGGAAGAGCAAGAAACAGGAGGAAGCAGGCCTAGGCGTGCTCCCAGGGAAAAGACCCTTAGCTACTTGGCATTTCTTTGTATATTTACAAAGGCAAAGGCATGCACTAAACACTTACATTGTTAAAACTCTATTCTAACCACCACCAAACTATCATGCCTAGTAATTTTACAAAGCCACAATTACTACTGAAGTCAGACATCAGTTCTCAAGGCTAGATAGAAATTACACAGAATGAATACTGTACCTGTTGAAACTAGGGTATGGTTCCTTCCACAGGCAGCCAGCTTCACTTTCTCAGGCTTAAGAGCTAGACATGAGAATATGACAATTACAATATTTTATGGATATGAAAATGATCAATAATCTATATCAAATGATGATTAACTGGTAGAACTGACATTTCTTTAGTGCACTGCAGGGGATGGGATCCAGGAATTTGAGCATGCTCAGCATGTACTCTGAAACCCCACAACTGAAACTGAAAACCTGGTATAAACCTGGTGACTCCAAATCAATGATCATAACTACTAACACAGACGTTTATCCAGAGTGCACTGTGCAGCATGAAAATCAGTGGAGTATGGTAAACAGTGAGTTGTTGGGTCAAAGGTAGGGTCAAGGCACCTAATTAAAAAATAAACTATTGGAAATTAATACATCAAGATCCAGTACATTCCGTTATGTTGCTTTTTACAAACTTTATTACCTAACCTGCCACAAGCTTCTAGGACACTCAATAAAACCCTAAAACTAATAATCATAGGCACACACATGGGTTGAAGTTGTTCATCTACAAATATACATATAACTATACATATGTATATAAACATATACTTATATATAATTATGTATATAACACTATGTAAATATATACATACATTAATACATATTATATGGTTTTCTAAGACAGGGTTTTCTTGTGTAGCCCCAGCTGTCCTGGAACTTGCTACATAGACCAGACTGGCCTCAAACTCATAAAGATCCACCTGCCTCTGACTACTGAGTGTTGGGATTAAAGGTGTGTGCCACCACGACCTGGCTTCATCTACATATTTTTAAGCACTTACAAATATCTCCTAATTAACTTTCAAAGCATCTGCACAGCTGGCTAAGAGTCTGCCTCCAGGATCTCACAGGCTATGATAATATCTATTAGGTATTTATAAGGTCATGGACACTGGGAATACCAAGTGTTTAGTAGTCTGTGCCCGATTAAATACCTTCTAATCATGTCTTATAACAATGCCTATAAATAGCATGGTTATGATAAAATCACACTAAAATTTTAAGTTGAAATATAAGTTTGGGCCGTGGAGCTAGAGAACAGTGTTCTTACCACATCCCCAGGACTCTCCACTACCTCGTTAATTTATTTAATGTTCATAAGCTACATCCAGAAGTTTTCAAATGACAGTGAGAAAGTTTTCTAGTGATATCATACATGTCATATACTTGAGACAATACTGATGTGAAATACCTTGCTCTGTTGTTATTATATGCGACCATTCATCAATCCCTAGTCTTAAGGCTTTGTTTAGGTCATTTCATTACTACTCTGCACTGTAGAATTTTAATAACCAATAACTACATATAACTAAGATGAGACAGAACTCCAAATCACAATGCATTATAAAGCCTGATTTCCATATATATGCACATAAATATAAAAAATAGTAGTAATATTTAAGCCACTTTCCAAACAATCAATTGTTTGGAAGTCAAATTCGATACTAAAGGATCATTATTTCCTTTGTGATCCTTGGGTTTTGAGTCAAAGAGACTTTTGGACTCCACCATAAAAGTATTTCTGAGTTTCCCATAAAGAACAAGAGTAGGTATTAATAATATTCTAATAAGGTCAAATCTTATAAGGTAAAATATTAAAGACTTTTTAAGATATTAAAGAGCCAAAGAATCAGTACTAAAGTTATTTAATGTCATCTGGAAAATATTAAAAAGAATATAAATAACATAAAGAAGAAAAGGCTCCAAACCTTTGATGCATGTTGGTTTGCTGATAGCTGACTTTGATCCTAATCCTAACTGACCCCAGTTGTTACTGCCAAACATGTAAAGTTTATTGTTTCCTAGTGGGAGGGAAAAAGAAGCAACAAATTAAAGCAATCCTCACATAGATAACAGTAGATGAAAGAACCACAAGGAAATAAAAGACATACATTTTAAAAATACCAAAGAACCAAAAATAGGAGTGGGTTACCTTTTCTGTCCATGTATGGACACATTCCATTCAGTGTAAAGAGTTTGTAAGATTCCATGTTTAACAATTTTTTATTGCAATGAAATAGATTTCAAAAATGTTTCACATGCAGAAAATCTTTTATGTATATTAAGGTAACTTAAAGTTGAAAAGACTCTTGAAACAATTTGAAAAGGATTCTCTGACAAATGTAAAGCCATTTTCTATACACTTCCAATATGTTCAACACATGAGAAAACCTGTTCTCTAAGTATATATAATAGCAGTAACATTTAAGTAGTTTTTTAAAAAGTAAAAGTACAGTAAAATGCAATGCTATAAGACCATCACTCCCTTTGGGGTTCCTGGGTTCCAAATCAATGACATTTTTTAGATATAAAACAAATATATTACAGGCAATAAAAATAGAAGCTTAAAATGTATCTTACTGTGTTCAAGCAGGTTACCTTGTCCTATGTATGAGATGATTCTATTAAGTGTAAAGAGTTCTAACATTAGGCAACAACAATTTTTGTTAAACATGACACACAATATTTTGGATTATCTGATAACTACTGTCTTCATTTAGGATTGTAATACTAACCTGTAACAATAGCAGTATGTTCATCGCCACATGAAAGACATATAGGTATGTCATTCTTAAACCAGAATTTGCTAGGAATATTTTCAGCAAATTTAGTTTTTCCAAATGTAAACACAGCGCCTGTGTCTGTAAATGTAAAAGAGTTTTCATCTCACAAATTGAACCATAATGCCTGTTATTAAAACACATTCCAGTAACATGCATATAAACCCCTTTCCCCCAGACAGCGTTGGCTCTGCTTAAACATTACTTAATAAGCCTTCCTTCTTGCACCTTAATTCAGTCCTATTCCTCATACTTCATTTAGTTTCATCTGTTAATTTGGGTATGTGTTACTCATTTAGTGGTATCAAGTAAATATATACAAAGACAAGGAAAGTCGTCATCCATTACTCATTGTTCTGCCTTCACTCACTCTGGCTAAGGCCTCATAGTCTGTTCCCTGACTAAGGATCTTTTGCCACACTCAGAAGCAAAATAGTATTGCAGATTTTTCCTTAGCATCACAGGAAATTTTTGTGGAGGACCTCTTTAAGTGAAATTTGGATTTTCTTTAGTTCTTCCAAGTAACTGCCAGTGTTTGCATTCAAGAAATGAATGCTACTACAGATACCAAACTCTACTGATAATGCCAGTTGACTGTCCATTAAAACTAGGGGCAGAGCAGAAATAAACATTATTTACATACTGTCTTACTTGCACCATAGGAAGCCATATAAGGCTTTAAAAGTCAATTATGCACTACACAGCAATCTCTCAAATCATTACCGAAATGTTTATTGATGGGTATTTTATTTTCTCAACTATATTACTGATAGTGTAGTTCTCCTTGCTACTTATGCCTACTGCACCAGGTGTTCCTCTAATAAATATCAGTTACATTGAAGTTTGTTCTAATTTTCACACAGAAAAGTTCCATACTACACTATTCGTGACTGTTTGTATGTCACTATAATGGTGGATAGGAAGCCCAACACAGATCTCAATACTTTCAGGTTTTAACAAATGGAAACACGTCAACCTTTCCTATTCCTACTGAGGAGACATGAAACTTCAATTTATGGGTCAGGTCATGGAAGTGGATGCTGAGATGTAACATTCTGAAGTTGTCATTACTTGATTTGGGGAGCATTCACCAACTGCTTTTTTAACCAGCACCATTTCCAACAGACTAAAAATCCGCTAACAGTTCCCAGTAACTATTTGCACACACACACACACACACAGAGAGAGAGAGAGACAGACAGAGACAGAGACAGAGAAAGAGAGAGACAGAGAGACAGACAGACAGACAGACAGACAGAGAGAGAGAGACAGAGAGGGGGGGGTCACCATTTTAAAAAGATTAAAAATCCATTAACACTTCCCAGTAACTATTTACATACACACAAACACACAGCACCATATTCAATACTAAAAATCCATTAACAGTTCCTAGTTCTCAGTAACTACTCACTCTCTCTCTCACACACACACACACACACACACACACACACACAAACACACACAGAGCACCATTTTCAAAAGACTAAAAAAATCCACTAAAACTTCCCAGTATCTATTTACACACACACACACACACACACACACACACACACACACAGAACCATTTTCAAAAGACTAAAAAATCTATTATCATCTCCCAGTAATTTTTTCAAGACTAAAAAAATCTATTAATACTTCCCACTAACTATTTACACACAGACATTTATACACATATACACATACACACACCACCATTTTCAACGCTAAAAATCCATTAACAGTTCCCAGTAACAATTTACACACACACATACACACACACACATCAACACCATTTTCAAAAGACCAAAAATCATTAACAGTTCTCAGTAACAATTTACACACACACATACATATACACACACAGCACCATTTTCAACATTAAAAATCCATTAACAGTTCCCAGTAACTATTTATACACACACACACACACATACCACCACCACCACCATTTTCAACGCTAAAAATCCATTAAAAGTTCCCAGTAACTGTTTACACACACACACACACACACACACACACAGCACCATTCTCAAAAGACTAAAAATCCATTAACAGTTCCCAGTAACTATTTATACACACACACACAGAGCACCATTTTCAACACTAAAAGTCCATCAACACTTCCCAGTAACTGTTTACACACACACACATACACACAGCACCATTCTCAAAAGACTAAAAATCCATTAAGTTTCCAGTAACTATTTACACACACACACACACACACACACACAGAGCACCATTCTCAAAAGACTAAAAATCCATTAACAGTTACCAGTAACTATTTATACACACACACACCACCACCACCACCACCATCACCATTTTCAACACTAAAAATCCATTAACACTTCCCAGTAACTGTTTACACACACACACACACACACACACACACACACAGCACCATTCTCAAAAGACTAAAAGTCTATTAACAGTTCCCAGTAACTACACACACACACACACACACACACACACACACACACACACACTGAAATAAAGACCCTGATTCTGGGAAATTTTCTAAGAAACCATAGTAGATGTGCAAGGGGCAATGCCACCTGTGAATAACTGCGAGGCAAACCAGTTCCAAACTGAGCCTTGGGAGGCCAGGACCTAGAAACGACTCAAGACTTCCCTACAAGGAATCTTTTAACTGTTGTATTCTGGCTCCCTAGAAAGCCTCTTCAGACACTCCCTAGTCACAGAACCAAACCTGGTGGTTCTGTTCTATTCTTTGGCTGGCTTCTAATGTCAAGCCTATTGTCAATTTCTTTATTTTCTTGTACCCTCACTAAGGTATGAACTCCTGGAAGCATAAAATTAAATCCAATTTGAGGCAAGAACACGGCAGAAAGTGCAACACATATTTAAATGTATAATTCTGTTCTAATATTAGTGGTTATTTTTCACAGTGTTACTCGTGACTCATTATAATGCATGTGGAAACCAATTCCGTGCATTATGCCCACCATTTTAACAGATTATTTAATAGTTCTACCTTCCAAATGGTTGTAGCAAGTGTTGTTTCAGAAAATGTCTACCTGTGCTACCCGGTACGGAAGCCATACTGGGTCATAATTTTAACATACGTCAAACTAGCGCTTAAGCGCTTATTGAAGGGTTTGTTTCTCCCTTTGTCCAGTTCGTTTTTTCCATCCATTTTTAAACTTTCCGTATCCACTCGTTTCAGCATCTAAGTGGGTCCTGGGGACATCCCATAAGCTTAAGTGTTAAGTAGAGACCTTGGGAAGCTTAGCGAGAGAATAATGGCGGCCACAGCCTCCGAGAAAAGTCATAGAACGCTTTACTAAAACCACATAGAGGGTCCTTCCCCCCTCGTTCCCTGCCCCTGCCTCCCGGTTCCAACCAAGCCATTTATTCGCAGAGGCAAGGCTAGAGCTGCTGTCTCGCTAAAGCGGCTCAGATTGCGGCCTGTACGACGACAGGGCCGGCCTGGAGGCGGGGCCTGGCCTCCCGCCCGCCCGCCCGCCCGCGGACCCTCCCTCCCGGCCAGCCGCAACGGAGGCGCGACTCACCTGGCACCAGCGACTCAGGCTCCGCCATGCCGAAAACCGTGAAGGGAATCTGTGCCTGCTTCGGAAAGACAGCAGGAGCGACTCTATTAGGCCTAAGGTACTGCCCTAGCTCCTGGGGCCCCCATGGCGACCCTCTTGGCATCGACCACTACCGCGCTCCCGGAAGTCAACAAACAGACGCTAGGGGCAACGGAGGCGGGACGTTGTGGCGCGGGGCGGGTCTAAAGGTGGTTGGAACGAGGGATGCGGAAGCTGCGCATCAATGCGGCGCAAGCGTAGATGTCCTGGTGGATGCTGTAGGTGGCCGCGCACCCTCTAGTGGTTGTGATAGGAAGAGCGGCCACGCCGCACACTGCGAGGTGTTGGGAGCACATCTACTTCCGAGAAGTTGGCCCTGCAGGGCCCTAGAGGGCATAGTGACAACATAGCTTCTGTGACACACGCCAACGTCAGCGCACAGCTTTGGCTACACAAGTAACAGTGATAATCTGCAACAGAGCTAGACACTAAAAGTTTTACATCTGAAATACCATTTCTATTCCCAGAAACAAAACTAGATACACACATTACAACTTTACTGAATAAATGAATGCTATTACAGTCATGTAATCTAGGTAACATCACTCCTGTTTGCAGATTTATGCCGATTACACGTGGGAAGGGAATCCCAGTTCAAGTAGCCAATCCTGAGGACTGAACAGGCTGCCTGTAGCTCCTACAGAAGGAAAAGGCCTAGATATATAAAATTTCCTGTTAAGTTATTATATTTTTCTGGCTAAACCTTGGTTTCTCATGCATAACACTTAGTCACAACAAAATACATACACACGCAAACAAAATTCTTCCGGGATAAGAAAATGTGTACACCTGTGGTAGTTTGGGTCTTAATCGAGTACATTTGGATTTAGGGCTCCCTGAATGACTTTACTACCTGCCACTTATGAAGGGCATTTTACTTAAAGAGTGAGGAATCAAATTTGGTCCTTTCTATACAAACTAAAATTGAGGGGGAGGTGCTAATAGCAAGCTGAACAAGGAACACTGACTTGGAACAGGAGTTTAAGAAAGACAAAAGCTTGTCTAATGAAAACATGGTAAGTGTAAGAAAAAGAAGAAAAATAATCTGAAAGGGTTTAGAACACTCAAAGACTCATGGGAGCTTGGTTCTCTCCAGGGCCTTGAAGAGGCAGACTCTAGGTGAGATGGCAGAGTTTGGGGCATGTTAAGGAATCTGAGTTTTTATCCTAAAGTCCATGAGAAAGCATGGAGGAATTTTAAGAAATGGAGTGATAAGACAAGATCAGTTAAATTTACTCTTGAAGTCATTCTGCCTGTCCTAGCTGTTTTCTGACAAGACATGTGAGCAGTGAGAGAGAATTAAAAGGTTATTGCAGATATTTAGGTACAAAAGTGTGCAGGCAGCTTGGAGTCCAGTGTTTTGGCACACAGCAAATATCGTCTGATTATCAACTCCTGGAAAAGGCTGAACTATTAAATAACTTCCACCACCACCAACAAAAAAGTAGCTTGCTTATTTTGAGGAGTACCTGATTGATGCTCATGTTATTTACAGGCTCATAACAATTGGAATGAGATAAAAATGAGAATATTTAAAGACTATTGTTGATTGTAATGTGATTTCATTTGCTTTTTAAAATAAGTTTTAGAAGATAATAAAGTAAAGGTTGGACAGAGCACTTATGCTGGTTCCAACATCAGTAACCAGGACAGGTGATGTCATTTCCAGAGATGGGAAGGACAAGTGCAATTAGGGCAGTGAGAGAATGGAGAAGATAGTGGGCTCTGCCCTTGAACACAGGACACCACTGTGGAGGTGCCGAGCCTACAGTTAGTGAGCAGAACTTCCAGATAGAGCCTCACATTTATGGAATGCCTAAATAAACATGATCATGGCAGTCTAGGGAACAGGAGAGAGAATGAAAAGGAAAAGCAAATGAAACTAAGATGGATCATGAAGAATGTCAAAGTATAATGTCCCAGCAACAAATACTTTTTAAAAAGTGACCAGAGAGACCATGCAGAATTATGTGCCAACAAAGGGGATGTAGTCAAATTGGGCACATAACGTGGACATATTAAGTAAGGTGAAACCTAAATATCATCTGAATTCGGCAATATATATATATGTATATATATATATATATTCTACCGTACGCATGATAGATTCTAATGCTTTATTTGATTTCTGAATTTTTGATAATAAAATATAATATAATAAGATAAAACAAAGCCAACATATTGGAATTGAACAAAAACCAACAAACAGAAGGAAAAGAGGCCAAGAAAAGGTGTGAGAAACAGAGAACAACTGGCTCATATACTCAGGAATCCCATAGAACACTAAATTATAAGCCATAATATATATGTGCAAGCCCTGGGAATGCTCCCTCAGTCTCTGTGTATTCACATGTGATTTGATCATGTTACTTTAGAGGGCCTTGTTTCCTAGGCATTCTTCATTCCCTCAGGCTCTTTCTGTTTTCTCTTCTTTAGGGTCCTTTGAACTCTGAAGTAGGCGATTTGATGGAGACATCCCATTTAGGGCTGAGTGTTCCAAGGTCTCTCCTTCTCTGCATATTGTATTTGTTCACATCTGCTACAAGAGGGAGCTTCTCTGGTAATGGGTAAGCAAGGCTTTGGTCTATGAGTATAAGGAGTCATTTTATCACTATGTTTTATTTTCTTTCTCTTTTTAAGACAAGTATTATTTGGTTTTCCCCAGGGTACCTGGTTTATCTGGTCTCAGATTCTCAGTCACACAGGAGTGTCCAATATGGGTTGCATCTCATGCAGTGGGCCTTAATTCAAATAATATACTGGTTGGTTACTCCTACAAGCTTTGTGCCACAATTACACTGGCCTATCTTGTAGGCTGGCACCATGGTGGATCAAAGGGTTAGTGGCTGGCTTGGAATTTATGTTTCTACTTTGGTAGAAGGGAGAGTACTTCCCTGTACCAAAAATATTAGAAATCAGGGGTAAAGGTTCTGTGTAGGCACCGAAGTGATGTCTCCATGTTCAATGTGTTGTGTGGGTGTTGTCTTCATCAGTGTGGCTTTGCTGTCCACTTAAGGAGAAGAACCTAGTTTGTTTGGGAGTTCCTATGGAAATTTGAGGTCAGTGATAGTGACACCTCGAGTACTTCTTTTATTATTTGGAATAATTTTAGCTATCCTAGGTTTTTTGTGTTTCTATATGAAGCCAAAATTTGTCCTTTCAAGATCTGTGAAGAATTGTGTTGAAATTTTGGTGGGAATTGCTTTGAATCTGTTCTTTTGGTAGGACAGCCATTTTTAACATATTAGTCCTATATATAATACTATACTATAATATATTATACATAATAGTATATTAATCATATACTGATCCTTGAACATTCAAGATCTTTCCATCTTCAAATACCTCCTTCAGTTCCTTCAATGTCTTAAATTTTTTATCATAGTATTTTACTTGCTTCATTAAAGTTACCCCAAGATAGCTTATATTATTTGCAGCTCTTTGAAAGGTGTTGTTTCCCCTATTTCTTCTTTCTCAGTCTGTTAGCCATTTGTATATAGAAGGGCTACTGATTTTTTTAGTTAATCCTGTATCCAGAAACTTTGTTGAAAGTGTTTACCAGCTGTAGGAGATTCCTGGTGGAATTTTTAGGGTCACTTATGTACATTTACTAGCTTATCATGGGCAAATAAAGATATTTTACTTCTTCCTTTCCAATTTACATTACCTTGACCTCTTTCAATTGTATTATTGCTCCAGGTAAGACATCAAGTACTATATTGAATAAGTATGAAGAGAGTAGACAGCCTTGTCTTCCTCCTGATTTTAGCGGAACTGCTTTGAGTTTCTCTCCATTGGAGCTGATAAGGGCTATGGGCTTCCTGTAAACTGTGTTTTTATGTTGAGGTGTGCCCCTTGTATGCCTAATCTCTTCAGGACTTTTATATCATCAAGGGCTTTTGGATTTTATCAAATGCCTTTTCTGCGTCTAATGAAGACGTGGTTTTGTCTTTCAGTCTGTTTATATGGTGAATTACATTTATAGGTTTATATACATTGATTAAACAATCCTTCATTTCTGAGATGAAGACTACTTGATCATGGTGGATGACCTTTTTGATGTGTTCTTGGATTCAGTTTCCAAGAATTTTACTGAGAATTTTTGCATCTGTGTTCTTAAGAGAAATTGGTCTATAATTATCTTTCTTTGTTCGGGTATCAAAGTTTGGGTATCAGAGTAACTATGGCCTCATAAAAAACTGGGCAATGTCCTTTATATTTTTATTTCATGTAATAATTTGAGGGGTGTTGCATTAACTCTTATTTGAAAGTCTGGTAGAATTCTGCACTAACACTGCTTGACCCTGGGCTTTTCTTGGTTGGGAGACTTTTAGTGATTGCTTCTATTTCACTAGGGGTTATAGATCTGTTTCTATTGCTTGTCTGATCTCTATTTAACTTTTAATTTTTCAACTTGGTGGAATAGATTATTTATAGAATGTCCTTAATATTCTCTTGATTTCCTTCATGTCTGTTATGTTCCTTCTCATTTCCATCTCTATTTTTGTTAATTCGTATATTCTCTCCCTGTCTTTTAGTTAATTTGGAAAAGACTGTCATTCGTATTGATTTCCTTAAATAACTAAATGTCTCTTTCATTGATTCTTTGTTTCTTGTTTTTATTTTATTGATTCAGCCATGAATCCGATATTTCTTGTCATCCAACCCACTTGGGTGTGAGTTCTCCCTTTGGTGCTAGGACTTTCAGGTGTGCTGTTTAATGGCTAGCATGAGATCTTGCCTAGTTTGTATGTAGGAACTTAGTGTTATGAACAATCTTCATTGTGTCACATATGGCTGGATATGTTGTCTGTTCATTTTCATTCAACTCTAGAAAGTCTTTCATTTCTTTCTTATTTTCTATCTTGACCTGTTTTTCATTGAGTAGAGAGTTGCTTAGTTTCCAGGAATTTGTAAGCTTTCTGTTGTTGTTGATATCTGGCTTTAATCAATGGTGGTCAGATAAAATGAAGGGTGTTATTTAAATTCTCTTGTATCTGTTGAGACTTGCTTTGTGTCTGAAAATGGGGTCAATTTTGGAGAAAGCTCTGTCAGGTGCAGAGAAAAAGGTATATTCTTTTGTGTTTTGGTGAAATGTCTTGTAAATATCTGTTAGGTCCATTTGGTTTATAACACCTGTTAGCTCAAATATTTCTCTGTTTAGTTTT